GAGCTATTTCATTATTGTCCTCTGCTGAGTCTTAGTGAGGTGAAATTCAACACCCCGAACAATGCTTATCCCTCCACATTACACTGCATTTATTGATATCGATTGGTTTGACTGCTGCATCTGCAAGAGCCAAGAAACTGCAGACATTAACAATACAATACAATACAATTTATTCTTGTATATCCCTAAATCACAACAAAAGTCATTTCAGAGGACTTAACAAAACCATTGAAATCACCAACACAGGTCAGAGAATCAACAGTTAAAACACTTAAAGAATATAGAACACATTTATATGACATGACTATATGACTAACACATCTTAGACTCCACCTCTTGTTGTTTTCTGACACAAGTGCATGAACCAGTGGTTGAAAGAAACTATGTGTAATTGAGACGAATAGGCACTGATAATGTATGATAATTATGGAATCACTTATGTGGACCTGTTGCTATTAGAAGTAAGGGGCAAGACATATGTATTAGGGTTAGTCCACAATTGCTTTGAATAATTGTTTACAGATATATTACCATAATCAAATGCACACAAAACATGTCTATTTTAAATCTGGTGCTTTGTAACAATCAAAGGCATTCATTGTTGTATTCAATTCAATTCAATGTATTATTGTATAGCTGTCATGTTGTTGCCCCGCCCTAATGTGATTCACCTGTGTCTCCCTGTATGTATTTATACCCTGTGCCTTTCCTCACTTGTTGTCCGTCCATTGTCTCTACCACGCTTGTCCTGTCTGCAGTTCTGGTGTTTTTACATTACCTTGGATTTATTTTATTAAATTACTTTGATTTTCAGTCCTGCATTTTGGGTTCCCTTTTTCTTCATTCATCCACATGACAGAATGGATATTGGGATCCCGCGGACTGCTTTTCCATCCACACCTGGCACTCTACACCACCCTCAACATCTTTAAGTACAGATTTTTGTTTTGACTACTATGCCTGCTGCCTACTGATGACGTCTGTTTTGCCTCGCCTACTGGAACCATCGCCAGACAAAGTGTTCCGTCTGGGGTGGTAATCTTCGTTCTGTGTCTGGGCCACCGCCGGGCATTAAGCTCCGTCCGGGGTGGTCTTCTGTTCCCCCGTCCTGTTGGAGGTCGTCACTGGGCCCGTTCTCCTCCCATGTGTTCTGGTCACTGTTGGACTTTTCTGTCTTTTCTGCTCACTCCTCCGGACCCCCCACCACCCTCCCGGGCTTGTGTATCTTGGGACATCTGGGAGCTGTCCCTTTTGAGGGGGGATACTGTCATGGTGTGGACTTTGACTATTTTGGCCTGGTTTTATTTTGCTATTTGTTCTCTTGGAGTTTGAGTTGATTGTTGCCCCGCCCTAATGTGATTCACCTGCGTCTCCCTGTATGTATTTATACCCTGTGCCTTTCCTTACTTGTTGTCCGTCCATTGTCTCTACCACGTTTGTCCTGTCTGCAGTTCTGGTGTTTTTACATTACCTTGGATTATTTTATTAAATTACTTTGATTTTCAGTCCTGCATTTTGGGTTCCCTTTTTCTTCACTCATCCATATGACAATAGCCCTGAATAACAACAGCAGTAATCTCAGGAGTTAACAAAACCGTTGAAACCCTCAACACAGATCAGAGAATCAACAGACACAAAAAATATAGCACACATGTGTATTGGTCCAGAGGGAGGGACCACTGTCCATGAATGTTGATATGTCCATACTTGTTGTAGAATGTAGAGCATGGGTGTCAAACTCTGGCCCTTGAGGCAATATCAAATTAACATTAGAGCTGGCCTGCCAGTCACCGCTAATACTACAAATCCCCTAATGCTCTGCTGATGTTTTGCAGCGCCAGCTACATGCTCTCTCCTCCTGTTCGGCAACACTTATCTATGTGAGCAAATTTTCTCCTCAATGAAGATGACAAACGTCTCACAGGATAGTCTGACTGATGAAGACCTTCGTTTGATTATGAAGGTTGCCTCAGCTCAAAGCCTGAACCCCGACATTAATGAACTAACATCCAAGAAAAGATGCCTTGGGTGTCTGGCTTGGGCACATCAAACCAAACTTGCCAAATTGAGCTGTAAAAAGGCCTGAATAGTTGATTTATTCATTGTTATTGTATTATCCTGTGCGAAAAGTTAATGTTGATATTTTCCTCACACGGCTGCAAATAGAAAAGAGGCATTCAATTTATATTTTATTCGATAAGCCATTGATATGTTTTAGTTGTTACTATTATTCTTTGAAACTTGATTTTACATGTCACTATGAAGTTATATAAGCCTTGCTTGTATAATATTCAATGCAAAACTTGATTGGGTCCCTACTAAAATGTTCAGTTTTATTTTTGGCCTGATCTGTAAGTTTGAGACCCCTGATGTAGAGTGTCCTGGATCATCACCACAGTCCTTGTTAGACTCTAACTGTCCAACAGACCCTCCTGCATCGGCAACGAGAAACTCTAAAACCCAGTGGGAGAAAAGTGGGAAACCTCAGGGACATCCACATTGAGGCAGACGGGCTATAGATCCAGGCATGGGCGTAGGTTTGCGTGGGGACCATGGGGACATGTCCCCACCTATATTTTGTGAGGACCAAAATGACATGATGTCCCTGGGAACTGTAGTCTTCGCAGTGGTTCGGGGCGGCTACACGGGGAAATCTGTGATTGAGTGTTTATTTGCGGTATAAATGTAACATTTATTCATTTTTATTGAAATAGTAACTACTAAATGTTAATTGGGAAGATAGATATTTAATGTTTTGTATGAAATATGCCTCAATAATAGAGAAAATTTGTGATATTTGTTAATTTCTTTCATTCTTCCAGGTTTATTACCTGTGGTCATAACAACTGTTTGACATACACAAGTCATGCCACGTTTGCTGCCTGTCATTAGCCCTTTTAGATTGCTAAAATATAAAAAGTCCGAACACAGTCAAGTATTTTTGGCCTCTGTCCGATGTTTAGATCAGCATCTTCAGAATGTTTTAATGAAGTAAAGGTGTGTTGTCTGATACTGTAGGTCCAGTCCTGGCTCAGAACTATAGCTGTAAATACTTCAATATCAATCTTAAATAAAAAAATAAAAAAAAAACATAGTACAAAGTAGATAAAGTGACATTCAGACATCTGAATGTGAAGTGACATCTCCAGAGCTGCCAGAGGCACGGAGTGACAGTCCTGGTCCAGCATAGTTTGTCCAGGACCCTCCTGTCCCCACCTGCTGCACTGTGTCGGGAACAGCCCAGGACTGAGCTGGACTTCCTGATGACTTTGTCCAGCTTCTTCCTGTCCCTCTCTGAGATACTGCTGTTCCAGCAGACCATACCACCACCATCCACCATGGTGTTGAAGGTGCTGGAGAAATAGAAGAGGAGGATCCTCACAGGGGAGCCGTGCTTCCCCAGGTGGGACAGCGAGCGGAGGAAGGTGATGATGGCATCCATACAATAAGGGCCTCCACCGACTCCCGCTGTTGTCTGCTGCCATTGTGTCCTTGGGCAAGACACTTAACCCCACTTTACATGAAGCCCCGTTGAAAGATCAAGGTTGTGTTGTTACTGACAGAGCTACCATCCTCCTGTGGACTCACCACTTGCAGGAGGATCCGTGAGGGGCTGGTGCTCTGTAAACTGGGTGCAGCTCTGACTGTGCATAACTTAGTGCTCATCGTGGCTTCAATTGCAGCCTTTATCTATTCTAATATTGATAATCCACTAGTAAAGTAGCAATATGCATGATTCTATGTCGAGTCATCATTAAATCGCCCTAATCTGTCAAAAGGCATTAATAAAACATGCTCTTTCCTAATACTTCATTAACTGATAACAGTCGTTCAACCAAGATATTTGAATTTCAAAATTAGTTTTACAGCCCCTAAATCTTGTTATTGTTTTCATTTCAATCTGAGTCAGGGAGAATGCAGTGCCACTTTTGGCTATATAGATTTTAATTTACATACTGCTCCTTTAAATGTGCATTTTGTGTAAAAAATATTTTATAATTGTATTGAGATATCTTATGCATGTCTTTTTTATTTTTGTTATATTGAACCGTGAGCCAAAGCACACTTGTTTCGAATTCTGGTCACTTACAATTACAATTTAATTGAAAATAATACATTTTAGTTTCATGCTAAGTTGTATTGGATTAACGTCTCATGTAATTGAAATTACTTGAAGTAATTTGATTCTGCAAACGTGCTGTGTGTTTCTATGGCCTTTTGCAGTTTGCATGAAATTTAATACATTTTCAATAATCTTGTTATTTCAGATTATAATAAACAACAAAAACACGTCCATGGTGCAATAGGGAGGGTTGGTGCCATTTTCATGTATTTTTATTTTTTTTTGGTTTAGTTTTTTGAGTTTAGTCTTTCCTGAGTTGTTTTGATATTTGTTTTTTTTGTTTGAAAAAAAAAAAAAGTAAAACATGTATACAAAAAGTTTCTGTTCTGTAATGTATTTAATCTACCTATTAACCAGGCTATTACTCTAAACATACACTTTGCCATTGTTTTCCTAATCAGCATACATGGTGACGATGTGCGTGTGTGTTCGTGTGTGTATGGCAGTTCGTTTCTGTGTTTGTGTTCGTGTGCGTGTGTGTGCGTTATTACGTGCATTTTGTCTGAGGAGCAGAGCCATAATCGTCGATGAAACGAGAACCTGCAGTCTACATGCACACGCTCACTCCATCTCCACGTGCACGCACACACACCCATGCGAGCGCGCGCTGTCACGAATTTACCTCCCACCGACAAGCCTCCCCCCGCCCGTCTCTCATCCTCCGCCTCCCCATTGGCCCAAACGAACCATTCGATGAGCTCTGATTGGCCCAAACCCACGCCTATCACAACGCACAGTCGGCTCTATGCAAATGAGCTGGACAGACGCGGAACAGACAGCATAGCGGGCATACAGAGGAAGCACCGGTGTCCTTCACAACTTAACCGCACAATTTTGCACATTTCGGAGTCCGTTGTCATTTCTCCGTTGTCACAAAATGGCACAACCGGACACCAAGAAGATATTTTTCGAGAACCTATCTGGAGCTGGGAAAGCCATCGCTGTATTGACAAGTGGTGGGGATGCGCAAGGTAAAATGATACATGTAGAGCACGTTGCATTGTATTTCTTTCAAAACCAATATCAAAAACACTTGTCATCCCCTGTATATGACCTGCACACTATGTGAAGTCAAATCTGCTGGTATAAACTATTGCGCAGTGCTACATCCACAGACTGCCCATAGCGATGCTAGCTGGCACATTGTTGCTAGCGCGCTAACACTACAGCATCCAACCACTTTGATGGCACGTCAATGGATTGTGCTATTACGCAGGAATAAAAGCTTGTCAAGGTCACACAACAATGCGTGGTTGTTTTTATAAGCCTGGACTGTTGGACTGCGTGTTATATTCACAGGAAAATCCCCACCATTGGCTTTAATCTTGATCACGACTCAATATACCGGTGTGTTTTGTGGTAATATTCTTTGGTGTGATGCATGGATGAAGCGGTGATCAGACCATGGTGGCATTGTTGTTTGAGTGGTGAGAAGTATTAAATTAGATTAGTTTTTTGAGAGCAGGCTTTAGTCGCAGTGTGGAGGGATGCTCGTATCCTGTGTACGTGATGAGCAGCATACATCCTTTCACTATAGCGTCTCTTTGCGTCAGAGAGGAAACCCCAGGTCAGGTGCTTCCCAGCGTGGATCCTGATTGGTGAAAAAGCCCTGGCTGGCCCCTGGACAATTATAGCGGATTCCAATTAGAGAGACGATCATGGATTCATGACCACGTTTGGAAACTGGGCAGCGGTGTGCAGGCCGAGTGGTGTGGCATCCTTTTATGTGGAGCCTGTTGCATTACATAACCCTGGATCACGTTTACGTTGTTTTATGTATGCAATGAGGAAGGATATGTACCTAAAACGACGATTTGACATTTTGTAGTTTGATACCAAAGTGCAGATTGAATAATCTGGAAAAAGACAACGATTGCATTAGAATGTGTATTGTCAAGATGCGTAAAGGTTCAGTCATGATGTCTAACCAGCAGACTTAGATTGAGTACAACTATATTTATTGTTAAGCTTGGTGATTAGACCCTGGCAGGAATGCTGCAACTTGTGGTGAAGAAGCTGAGCCGAATTTATGACAGGTTACTACTGAATAGGCGGTGATGGTGAGGAGGTGGGTTGCTATTCGAAAAAGCAGCTTGAGCTGCAGAGAACTGAGAGGCTATGTTTAAATGTAGCCATGAAGTGACGATGAGCTCAGGTGTGACTGAGCAGCTGAGGCTGATGTTGAGCTCAGGCGCAGGTGTGTAGAGGGAGAGGAGTCAGTGTGAAAACATGATGTCTCTTTGGTCTTCCTGTCTGATCTTGTGCTTTTGGCTTTATAACTGAAGACCTGTCACTGTCGACTGATGACTTAAAGGAAAAAGTTCTCAAAACATGTTTTGAGAAGTACTTTCTATTTCATATCTTCCTTTTTTTTTTTTTTTTTTTTTTTTACTGTATAGTATTGTTTTTGCATGGTATTGTTTTGAATGGATGTCAGAGGTTTACTATACTATACTATACTATTTTGGCATACAGTTCCATTGAAAAACTGATTTGCCTTGAAGAAAAAAATTGTAATTTTATCATTAACATATCACTTTTGTTATTTGTTATTGAAATACAATCATTAGTTGACATAATTGTATCAACCTAAACTGGCCTCAACTCATTAGGAGTAAATGACTAAAGGCCGACGGCCTACGAATGTGTTTCTATTCAAATCTGCATGCCTTCATGCTGAGAAGGAGTTAGCGGTTTGATAAGTTGAGCAAGTTTAAAAGGCCTATTTTAATAGCCATTGTTTTTAAAAGCATCAATTCATCATGGGTTTAAGAGTAAGTCATATGGAAAATTGGTATCTCAACCAACACACACAAATATATAAATACCAGGTCATATGCATAAATGCAAGTAGTAAATGCTATTTTAATGAGATGGAAAATATAAGTATTGTGGTAATTGATTGTACATGCAGCAAAAAGGGCTGTTGTTATTGAAAGTAAGTAAAGTATGTGACAGCCTCCCACTCTGTCAGACCGAGCCCGATCTCATGTGACGGAAGTCTCAAAGGACTCCACTGTACCTGTTGCTGAGATCCAATCAGCAGCCTCCACTGAGTTGGGGCAATGTGTCTATTTTGTTGTGTTCAAACAAGTCCAGACCTGCTCCTTTCCTACATTATTACAAGGCCAACCTTCATCGGTTGCTTACATGAGAAGAAAAAATCCTGACAAAACTGCCTTCAATTTTGTTTCTTTAAGCGTAGTAGGTTTAAAGCTATCTCACTTTCTAACCACAACAATGGAAACAGAACGCAATGAATGTAATAAAATCCATCTATTCACTCCAAACAATTGGTCTATCACTAGTTTTTACATGTATTTTTGTCACATCTCTCCCCCGTCATCTTCTTTTTTACAAGGGAGAGAAGATTAATGTTATGGTCTGATTTGTTCAAACCGTTAAGCTTTTATAAGGCAAGGTAAAGACGAGCCAAGTTTATTTGTATAGCACAGTTCACAGAACAAGAGAGAAACAAGATGAGACTTTCTGTTGGGTCAAACAGCATTTATCATAGAGTTAAAAAGAGTATAGCTTTTATGTACCTTAACTTAAAAGTAGACTCATATAATAAGTCCAGTTTTAATATATATTTTTTAAGATATTGATTAAGCTCATGACATTGGGCCTCCTCCTTGTTTGTTCACTCAGAAATAATGTTTCCCCTCGGCTCCTTTACACAAGAGGAGTTTTGAGTTTATCTGATTCAGGGGGGGTCAGAGCACAGGAGATGATCCGGGACATTTTTGGTCTTTGGTTAATCCGTTTTCCTAAGGACCAATGACTCTTAGGTGTTTTATTGTTGTATTTCTTATGTGTTCTATTTGTTTTATTATCTGATCTGTTGGCAATCTGACCTCATTCGAGACAACTGCTATTGTGATTTTGGGCTTTACAAATTGACTTGAATATGTCTTGTTTGTATTTTCAACCACTTGTTATATATTTGTTTTTTCACCTCTATAAAGTTACAAGTGTATTTATATTGCACGAGACATACACCGGGTAATAAAAACAATAACAAGAGGGAAAACGTTCAAATATAAATAATCATACAACATAAAAATACCAAACACATTTAGCCTATGCTTTTATGTAGATCTGACTTGCAGTTCTAGTCGTTCTAGTCATGCCAGTGCAAGCACCAAGCCTCATTATAGTGCATGGTGGTTACTCATTCAGTCCTATAGAGTAATTTCTGAATGAGTAAGCCTCCACTCTACGTTTAGAGCACGTAGCACAGTTCTCTGCACGTCTACCAATGACAGCGGAACACGCATGACCAAATCGGTGCCAAAGGGATCTATCCGTTTGTGTGTTCTCCTCAGGCTTCCTCCACTTCAGCTGAGTGCTAATGACAGAGAACGATACACGTGCTGCTTTACACGCTTTCTTTTACTACTCATCTGACTCACAGCCGTAGTAATTCATAAACCAGTACTTTTATTGTGATATAAGTGTGTTGTGGGTGTGTGTACAAGTGAACACAGCCTAACCCCCTCCCTATCCCTCATGATATGATTAAACCTGACTGCGCACTTCAGAGCGGTTATGTAAGAGGGCTTTAGGTCATCGCCGCTGGAGTGGACACAACAAGACGCCTGTAGTTGCTTTGCAGGAGTTGTGCTGAAGTGTATCTTGTTTGTGATGGAAAGAAACTCAAAGCCCATGTCTTTTCATTCAAGTTCAAAAAGGAAGCTGTCCAATGCAATACTTGTCAAGAAGTTTGCAAGCGAGAGAAAATGCCAATTAGTAACTAGCAATTAGCAAGCATCAACTTCAATGGCACCATCAACACTTTATCTTCAGAATATTGAGATCAATCGTAATATGTCACATTTTTTATTCTGGAGTAAATATAAATGGTTAATTATGCTGTGTGTTTTTAAATTTAGATTGTTCTGTGATCACGTTTGACTTACATTGATTACAATACATCCATCCATCCATTTTCTTCCCCTTAATCCATTTCTGGGTCGGGCGGGTGGCAGTACACTTAGCACCAGCCCCTCCACCAGATTACAATCCAACTAAATTTGAATTATTATTGTGTTAATCCGTCTGGTGTTTTTCTAGCTAAAACGTTGCCCTCTGGCTCTCACCCTTCTACCACAATGGGCCTCATTTAGCGTGCAGCCTCATGTTGACTTTTGTAACCACTTAGAAATCTGCTGAGTTTGGCCAGTCAAATGTAACTTTATCTCAAGCATTGTAGTCTTGTCTCAATGATTTGCACTTTCTAAGATAATAATAAACTAGTGTTCTTTAAGTTCAATTTATATGGTGTTGTATAAGCTAATACAATGCTCTTATTGTTCTACTGTCTGCACGTGGTGAGAGATTCAGTCCATTTCTCTTGTTGTTGTTTATTGTACTGAAGCGTTTGATCTATGAACCCAGTCTACTATCGTCTAGACCCAACTCCTCCAGGATTCAACTGGCTTTTAATAACTCAAAATTGTTTGTTTGAACTCTGGCTTGTGATCTTTTAATTTGTCCGGAAACCAAGCAACCACAGTATTACACTCTCTTCACGGGCACATGTTTCTTTTCCTCAGTGACTTGTCTTGACACAAAGTAAAAGCTTTTTTAGGCTTTTATGTACTATTTTCTATTCATGTCACCTGGGTCATATCTATTTCCAAAGCCCTGGAATAAGTTTTAGAATTGTTTTGGTCTTAATAATGTATTTGAAATGTAGTAGATGTATAGAAATTAATGTCTGGATACAATGCTAAAACTTGTAGACTGTATTATGGACGACTGTTTCAGGGAACTTGTTACTGGAATTCAATACATCAGTATAATTGGTTCCAAAATAGCTGAAGAAAGCAAAACATACATGGAAAATAGACAAAAATGGGCTCACACTTTTATCAAAGCCATGGAAAAGTTAGGTAATGGTTTTGGAAAAGTCATGCGGGCCGTGTCTTTTCTGTGTAGAATTCTTTGCTGCAGTCAGTCTCCTTGTTCACAAAACCTCTCTGCACCTCTTGTCCTTGGTTCGGTTGCTATGTTGAACTGCTGCCAAACTCCGTCCACTAATCCTGTTCCATTCTCCTTTTGTTTGTACCCCTGTCCTCCTTCGCCAAGATTCTATCTCGCTAAACATCTAACACAGGTCAATCATTACCATTTATAACTCTAATTTCAGCAGTCATGGGATAGCACTTTGGTTGGTGAGGCGGCACAGCATTTTGTTTAGTTCTGGTACAAGGAGGAGGAGCTGTTTGGACAGTGTTGACCTAAAATGGTCAGCTTAAGTGGAATTCAACTTGTGCTTACCATAGAAAGCAATAGTTTACACATACAAGGACCGTGCGGATATATATAGATCGAGACATTCCGATCATCTTTTCTGTTTGTCAATGATGCAACATAGACTTACAATAGGCCTACTATACTAGACTTGATTTGAATCAGCAGGGAACCACTTCTTTCAAATCCCTTTCTAAAATGACTTTCCTATAAACTTAATATAGTTTTTCTTGCTAATTATCTTCTCCCGTCATTTAACAATCATAAATGGCAAAAGCATCAGCGTCAGCGGCGCCAGGTTCAATAATTCTTCTAAACTACAGCTTAAAGTCCATTTGAATGTTTGGACCAGACAGGAAATGATAATGGCTCTGTCTTGTTGTGGAAAGGCTCAAATTGCAGTGAAACCTGCAAAGTCATTCATGTTAGTTTAGTCAATTTATATTTGTGTGGATAAATATAAATATAGATTTCAAGGGTCAAGTGTATCTACATAGTTTTCACTTTTCTTACCCAGTATGGTATTGCTCCCAGTTCAGATCTGCAACTTTGTATCGCTTGGTTTACATTTTGGCAACATAACAAAAACCTTCCATACAACATCAAAACATACAAATCTTTATATCTGGATCTGAAAAAGCCTATAGCTATGATACCATTTGATATTTAGATAAATGAAGAAAATCCAATCAACATAATGCTAAGCTCATTAACTTTGTAAAACAGCCTGGTAATTATGATCTTGTGTCTCTACATTGTTACTGTAATCCTGTAATACTGTATTTTCTCTCTCTCAGGGATGAATGCTGCCGTGCGGGCCGTGGTCCGGATGGGATTATACGTAGGAGCCAAAGTTTACTTCATTCATGAGGTAAGTCCTGTTTTTATGTGAGGCTACTTTTCAAATCTGAAATTGTTTGTGGTTCGGGTTAAATATTTCATCAAATTAATTGATATTATGAGTTTATAGTTCTTTGCAGATTTCAAACAGCTTTGAGTTGTGCTACAAAGGTCTAACTCTCCACTGTCTTTAAAGGACTTACTTGTGAACAGTATTCTTCAAATCAAACCACTAATGCTGGGGAAAAACAGTAAATTGCTCAAATTAAGATAAATTGATACAGTAGAGCAAAGGATTGAAATATTTAATTAAATAGTTAGAGAAAACACAAAAGTTAAACATATGAGTTTACTCTTGTAATTTAAAGTTTATGGTACTCTCATGTCTTCTTTTTGTGACTGTAGTCTGTTGTGTTTTAATCATGTAAGTGATGTGCTAGGAGCTCACCATTCATGTGAGAGGTCACCCCTATGAAACCACACATGAAGCTACAGTGTCTTCATTAAACTATGAGATTATTGCAGATCCAGTTTAGATGAGTTTACATCAGGCTGGGTCCCAAGCTTTAAACATCTCAAGGAGCACTGTGCAAGCAATTATATTGAAATGGAAGGAGTATCAGACCACTGCAAATCTACCAAGACCTGGCCGTCCCTCCAAACTTTCATCTCAAACAAGGAGAAGACTGATCAGAGATGCAGCCAAGAGGCCCATGATCACTCTGGATGAACTGCAGATAACTACAGCTGAGGTGGGGATGGTGTGTTCAGGGTGATGAGCTGTGTTGCTTTTACGCCAAACATATCGTTTTGCATTGTGGCCAAAAAGTTCGATTTTGGTTTCATCTGACCAGAGCACCTTCTTCCACATGTTTGGTGTGTCTCCCAGGTGGCTTGTGGCAAACTTTAAACGAGACTTTTTATGGATATCTTTGAGAAATGGCTTTCTTCTTGCCACTCTTCCATAAAGGCCAGATTTGTGCAGTGCATGACTGATTGTTGTCCTATGGACAGACTCTCCCACCTCAGCTGTAGTTATCTGCAGTTCATCCAGAGTGATCATGGGCCTCTTGGCTGCATCTCTGATCCGTCTTCTCCTTGTTTGAGATGAAAGTTTGGAGGGACGGCCGGGTCTTGGTAGATTTGCAGTGGTCTGATACACCTTCCATTTCAATATAATTGCTTTCAAAGTGCTCCTTGAGATGTTTAAAGCTTGGGAAATCTTTTTGTATCCAAATCCAGCTTTAAACTTCTCCAACAGTATCTCGGACCTGCCTGGTGTGTTCCTTTGTCTTCATGGTTCTCTCTTCGCTTTAAACAGAACCCTGAGACTATCAAAGAGCAGGTGCATTTATACGGAGAGTTGATTACACACAGGTGCATTCTATTTATCATCATCAGTCATTTAGGACAACATTGGATCATTCAAAGATCCTCACTGAACTTCTGGAGTGAGTTTGCTGCACTGAAAGTAAAGGGGCCGAATAATATTGCACGCCCCACTTTTTAGTTTTTTATTTGTTAAAAATGTTTAAATTATCCAATAAATTTCATTCCACTTCACGATTGTGTCCCACTTGTTGTTGATTCATGACAAAAAATGTAATTTTTATATCTTTATGTTTGAAGCCTGAAATGTGGCGAAATGTTGAAAGGTTCAAGGGAAATGGTACAGTGCCTTACTTTCGCAAGGCACTGTACCATTTCCTATAAGTAACTACTGGTGATTTTAAGCCCATCATGAGAATTCTCTATGTGTATTCATGAGGAAGAGATATTATTATATTAACTACAGTATTTAATACAATCTAGTAGTTACTCCCTTAGTTTTATCACCAGTTTTTACTAGTGATTTTCAGACAGAAAAGTGGAAAAGTGACACTAAATGTTTCTTTCTGTTGGAACAAACACAATTATTACAGACATAAAAGTACCCCACCCTAATTGAATGTGTGTTTCCTACCTCAGGGCTATCAGGGTATGGTGGACGGAGGAGACAACATAGAGGAGGCTTCATGGGAGAGTGTGTCCAGCATGCTTCAAATTGTGAGTAGATTAGATACACAAGCAAATAAAGTAAAAAGTAGGACCTTTAATTCTTGAGATATGTTCCTTTGATATCAGGGGGGCACTGTTATCGGCAGTGCTCGGTGCAAAGAGTTCCGCTCACATGAGGGACGCCTGAAGGCAGCACACAACCTGGTGCAGCGCGGCATCACAAACCTGTGTGTGATCGGAGGAGACGGCAGCCTGACGGGGGCTAACCTGTTCAGAGAGGAGTGGAGTGGACTGCTGTCGGAGCTGGTGGAACAAGGTTTGTCTAATAAACTGTCACTGTTGATTCTGAACGTCGCATTTTCATTCAATTTTGGCTGGAGGTTATTGGGGAGAAAAGCTCAAATAATCAGCAACGTGGTGAAGGTGCACTTTATTTACTGTTTTTTCCGAACTATAAGTCACTTTTGATTGTAAGCTGCAGGCTCTAATTTTTAGAAAGAAACTGGATTTTGCCTCACTTATCCCACAAATGTAGCTCAAAAACATCATGTCTTCTTATTACTGTGGGTATGGGTAATAAGTATACGAGTAAGGCAAAGTCACTGATCGCTGTTCTTAATCTTCCAGTGTGAAGCAGAAAAGTAAGGAGGAACAGCTACTGATGCTCTTTTCACTTTCATGTCTGTGCAAAGAACCAAAACACTATTGTATTATGAGATATTTACACTAAGACATTTTAAGTGAGGACTTTTAACCCATTGAGGCCGGGAATGAATTCCTGCATTTCTACCTTTCAAGCCGGGAGCCCTGTTGCGCACTTCTACTTTTAAAAGGCCAGGAAAGCAGATGCGTCTTTTTTTCTTTTTTTGACCTATTCTCTTCATTGATCAATTCTCTTGACCAATAAAATGCATCAAGATATACCAGGGATGATAATTATCTGTGGATCCGCCAATTTTCCCATTCAAGCCCTAGCTTGAATTGATATCAATATCAATTGTCGACTCTTTTCAGAAAACCTGTATTTCAATTGTGAACTATTCAAATACAGTAGGTGTCTTGTGTGAGAGGCTGGACCAAACGTCAACCATCTCCTTCTCTGCTGCCCTTGTACAGTTTATAAGTGTATTTTCTCTTGGGCAGATTCAAACTTTACACTTTGAATAAGTCTTAAACAAAGTGTGTAATACGTGCTATTTTTTTTTTTCAGGTTCAATTGAAGCAGACTCTGTTCAGAAGTACTCTGCTCTGCACATCGTGGGGATGGTCGGCTCCATCGATAATGACTTCTGTGGCACCGACATGACCATCGGCACCGACTCCGCTCTGCACAGAATCATTGAAGTGGTGGACGCCATCATGACCACAGCACAAAGGTGAAACGGGACACATGGCAATTAACCTGTTCAATTATTCAAAGCTTCTCTCCCAAGACCTCCAGTGCTTTTCTGAAGTAAAAGTTTTATTCTGAACAGATCAGATTCAGTTTTCTTTGCCATTTGCAGTTAAACCACATTGGAATACATTTTAAAAAGTCCATACAAGTGCATACATAAAAAAAACCTGAAAAAGAACAGGAATCAAACAAGCAGGACACAATACATGTTTCATTTGTGGCATCATCTATCTATGTTTATTGATGAACTTGAAGATATCAATGTTGTTTTTTAATGGAGCGCCTAACTTGTTCTTTTCAACAAGACTCTTGACTTAACAGAAAGTGTTCATCATCATCTTTATTTTGAGCAAATAAGTGTACACGGAAAAAAAAAGTAGAATATCAAAATTGTGCATAAATAACCTTGAGTTACAGTTACATAATATTATACACACAAAACAGAAAGAGTTGATTAAAATAAACACTCAGACCACATCTGGCTGCCTTCATCTTGTTAGAAAATATGTTATCTTTTACTTGCAAGAAAGCTCTGTTGGTCACTACTTGCCTTTTTGGGCTGAGAGCTGATTGGCTAAGTGAAGGTGGTAACTCTGGTTCAGTTTAATGTATGAAAAAGCCGATCTATTGATGTGACCAAAATACAGCTTGTGCATGTGAAAAGTTATAGTTTACCCCAGCTTTAAAATAGTTGGATCAAAATGTCATCTTTCACCTGCAAATGACATGTTGTCCTTCCCAGGCAACAATGGGATATATAAACCAACTCACACAAAACTAATATTTTTATGTTTCAGTCACCAGAGAACCTTTGTATTGGAGGTAATGGGCAGACACTGCGGGTAAGCACTTCATTTCTCCTTTTGACAAAGAACAACATTCGTACAAAGTCGAATGCTGTTTTTCTGGTGTCTGCAGGTACCTGGCCTTGGTGAGCGCTCTGGCCTGTGGAGCGGACTGGGTGCTGATTCCAGAGATGCCTCCCGAAGACGGCTGGGAGGACAAGATGTGTGAGAAGCTGTCTGCGGTAACAACTTCCAGCTTTTGTCACATCTGCATAGTTATTACTGTTTATAATATGTACCTAACAATGTGATTTTTTCCTCATTTTGTAAATCAGAAATGGGCTCTGTGACAAAACTTGTTCTACCACTTTATATTTCAACCTTTGAGTTGAATAGTTTGATTACGTTATGGTACATACAGTAGGGCATTCAGAATAAAACATACAGACATAGAGAGATACATTGTAAACAGAGATACATTTGCAATATATACAAACGAGCAGAATAATTATCTTTTTGCAGCTTTTATTTTTCATTTCAACCTTGATAAGTGACTTTTTGTTATTATCTAAAGAAACTATACATGCGAACATACAGTTATCTAAATGTTTGTGTGCATCATCTTGCCGTACCAAGCAGTGACCAAAACCCACTAACATGAATGTAGTTTATTCTGTCTTGTATCTAATATGTGTGATTTACAACAACCATATTATCCCTCGATTCAGACCCGCTCCAGGGGCACCAGGCTCAACATTATCATAGTAGCGGAGGGAGCCATTGACAGACATGGGAAACCTATTACCTCTAGTTTTGTGAAAGAAGTGAGTACATATGTGTTTGAGAAAAGGGGAAACCAGGAGCATGGAGGCTTCCGCGGACGGATTTAAACTCACAAACATCATGAGCTGTTATCTTTAGGGCTATGTTCACACTGCAACATAAGAAAGACTTTATACTAATATTATCTTTCGACACAGGTTTAGGCTGTTTTTGAATTAATTAATGCCATTTTAGCTATAAAGATTTACTTAAAACATCAAATGTTGTTTATTATTAGTTCTCTCTTTCTCACATTAGCCAATTCCAACACAGACTTTATACAAAAAACAACCCATTATTTGAACAAGGTCAATAGAGGTCTGTTGTAAAGATTCTCGGGCACAGATTGGTAGCCACACTTTCACCAGTCTGACCCAGGACAGATATGTCTAAAGTAGGAAGTGAATGGACAATACAAAGCACTTTTTGTATGGCAAAATCTACTAATCAAAGCAAACTCACCGCCTAGACACGCAACCTCACAAATGACAATAGTTAAATTATAATCATTATATCAGAAGAGCCCACTCGTCATCTCACAAAATCATATAAGTTAGCAGATTTACCACTTTAAAAGAAAGTCTGAACAAACCTGAATATGCACGATTAATATACTGTATGATCAGAAATAATTCGCCATTTCTTACTATCTTCTGATGTATTCTGACCAGTGGTTCTCAAAGTAGGTGGCGGAACCCACAGAGGGGCTAAAGGCTGTAAAATGTTAAAAGCTCCTCACTATATTTCACTGTTCCGACTCAAAACACTACAATTTAACAGGAATTATGTCCAAATAGCAAAATAAATGACTCAATCAAACATAGCTACAATGGATTTATCAATGAACAATGGACACTTCATGTTGTTAATTATTTAAATGCTTTTCAACAGCGGGGGGTGTGACACTAAAGTTCTTTAGGCTATACAGAAATGTAAGTCACAAAAATTCGATACGTTTTTGTGATTAATGTTATGTTCCTAGATTTCACTATTTGGCAAAGACAAAACATTTTACTCTATTGAACATAGCCTTAAAATAACAGTCCATGCATCCTTATGACTCGCTTGTATCGGTCTAATAAAACGGCACACCTTTTACATGTCAATCTCTCGTCTCCAGACACCGTGCTCTTGAAAGTCCACGCCAATGCCCATATCTAAGTTTTCTGTCATGTTTCTCTCTCCCACCTTGGACTTCATAGAACCGAGCAGGGATGAAAAGACTGAATATCATTATAATAGCAGAGGGTTCGATTGATCAAAACAACAAGCCCATAACCACTGACTATGTGAAGGATGTAAGTACAGAAGCGCTGTGTCTGCTGCTGTGTATTTCTTTTATTTTGAAAAACCAGCTTGGACCTCCTGTTTACCACCTCTACCGCTGCCCCCTTTAATGGTGTGGCTGTTGATTCTTGTTGCTGTGTTTCTTGGAATGCACTTGTCAAAACACCCTGAGTAGTGTGTAAGTAAAAAAAACAAACAAACACAATGCTTTCACCACTTTTGCTTTACTAAACTTCACCATATTTGACTGTAAGTACCTTGGAAAACTATAGAGAGATGACGCAATTTGCTACTAAGCGGATATGGCAGAAGTTGTACCTCTTGACTAGCGTAGTGCTTTAGTGTCGGGGCTAACATGACTGAAAAGTTAGAGAGGCTTGCTTGTGCTTGTCGTTTCCCCTTTATCTCTGCTTTTGTGTCGTGGTCTTTCCTAACTGTGGATTCACTGATTTTTTATTATTTTGTATGGGTCATGTGTTGTATAGAGACCATTTGAAAGAAAATATTAAAACGTTCAAAATTTAGTAATAGAAGTGAATGGAGGAAAAGTGTAGTGGGGTAAATATTTGTTGTCCTTGAATGCACCGCAAACCTAATTTCATGCTTTCAATGGATTGACACCTGAGAAGTTGTGGTTTTCAGCAAACCCATAGTTTTATTGTTATGTTTCAAAATTGAGAAAAGACATGTTGTCCATTTCGTTAAACCCTAAAGTGGAGTATCCTAAAGTCATAACATGCTTCTGTCTCATATATAGGAATAGTATAGTAATTGGGAATGCACCGATATGAAATTGGTGCAGATATTGGACATTTTGTTATGGTTTTAGTATCAGACTGAATCGATATCATCTAACTATCTTGAGTAAGCCTATGTAATTAGTCTGAACTGTCGAACTGATATCATGTCATATACCACACAGTTTAACTTTTACTAAAACAGTGGTTCTGTTGTTACTTACAAAATCAACAGGTGGTTTAAAACACAATTGAACCGGATTTTGAATAACAAGAAAAACTCAGATTCAGTTCCACTCTTTGCCTCCATTTTTCTCCATCACAGAATTTTGAATGCATTTGTTTTCCAACTTTCAAATGGCTCTATAGTGTGACTGTGCTGCATGGATGTTGAAAGCCTTTGAATTGTCTAATATGAAATAACTAACATTGATACAGATGTAAAGCTTGTACCTTTGCCTTTCACTAGCTTGTTGTCAAGAACTTGGGTTTTGACACAAGAGTTACAATCCTGGGACATGTGCAGAGAGGAGGGACGCCATCTGCTTTTGATCGAATCTTGGTAGGTACAAAAATATATCTTTGTTATATTTACCATGTTAAATTCTAATGAAGTGTATGCTAGTGTGGTCATGAACAAACAAACGATCTCTTGCAAATAATAGACAGTAAATAAAAGAAAAGGACACATCCAAATATTAATATGAAATGGACAAAGTAATGCAATATTATTTCTACTAATTAACTATGTCTTTTAGTACCCTTCAACCATTAATATGCGGTCCCAAAACTTCTTCATCTAAATGTAAATGTGAATATATGTATAAGTGGCACCCAGTTACTGAGCTTTTCAAAATGGACTGCCTTCTTTCACTTTCACTTACAGAAAACCTGTTACAGCATAAACTTATTCCCCTTTTTGAAATGTAATATTATGTAAGAGCTGCTCACAAACACCAGGACATTTATTTGTGCACAAAAGCACAGCGATTACAGAGATCCACTCAATAGGATGATGATGTAACAAAATCGGCCAGCTGAGACGAGTTTTGGCAAAGTTACAATGGCCTAATGTTACAGATAATATTTTGTTAGATGTGGAGCCTGAGGCCAAAAAGAGGGAGGAAAGCTGCAGCCTGAAGCCATGTCTGATTGAAACTGTAAGTTACAAGAGAGGAGTAGATTTTAAATGAATGTCCAGTTCCTCTTGCAGATACAATGTATTAATATGAAAACATAATATTGAATCTAGAAGTGAAGGGAGATTGCAATTATTGTGATTTTCATCTAATACCAAGTAACATTGCATAAGTATTGCAATATTTATTCGGGATATAATAAGATGCCATGGCTGCAACTAACAATCATTTTAATAACTAGTGATTATATATTAATCTATATTAATAGATTTGTTGATGTAATTTTCTTCAAAATTTGACACGGATAAAGCTGAAGTGAAGTGGCTGGAGTACGTTTCAATAGATGATGAAATGGCTGACATTTTGAACAGTTATGCACTTCTTGTTTTATTTCCTTTGCTCTGTTTGAGTCTTAAAATCACATCTCTCAGCAATTCTTCAGCAAAATGTTAAATATTATGCATTAAATATTTACAGATATAGTCCCATGTTCCGGTGTTGATGGTGTGTTGTGTTGCCAGGCCAGTCGGATGGGCGTGGAGGCGGTCCTGGCTCTGCTGGAGACCACCGCCAACACCCCGGCCTGTGTGGTGTCTCTGTCGGGGAACCAGTCTGTGCGGCTGCCCCTCATGGAGTGTGTGCAGATGGTGAGTGAGATCAAAGCACTGACAACTTGCACTGAAATGTGACTATAAGAAGCAAAAGATAATCTATAAAAATCAGCGAGAGAAAATAAAGTATTGTGTTGGTCCATCTGCAAAACGGCACAAAGAAATTTATGTTTTGCATTTTGATATTTCACAAAAACAAATAAACCTTCAGAATTTTATTTTCTTGCTGAAAATCTAGCATGATAAATCTAAAATAATGCATTTTGTCCCTGCGGAAAGAGTCTTGTAAAAGTAAAATTTAGCAAATCAGATCACAACATGCTATCTTCACCTCATTAGGGCTCTATCTTTACAGGTATGCAAAAGATAAAAAATCTGTGAGTCACTATTTGATGTTTTGGGCTGAGAACTGTTTATTAGCAGTAGGTATCTTTTTATTAGGCCAAAAATACATGCCGGCAGTGGCTCAGTTGGTCGAGCATTGGCCTTTGAGCCTGAGGGTTGTGGGTTCGAGCCCACCACAAGACCTACTTCACGACTCCCACTGATGTCTGCTGTCGTTGTGTCCTTGGGCAAGACGCTTAACCCCACTTTGCCTGAAGCCCCAACTGATAGATCACGGCTCCTGTGGACTCACCACCTGCAGGAGGATCAGTGAGGGGCTGGTGCTATGTTTACTGGGTGCAGCTCTGACTGCCACCCCCGACCCAGAAATGGATTAAGGGGAAGAAAATGGATGGATGAAAAAAAAAATGCATGTGAATACTAGTGATAGGGCCCAACTGTTCTGTTTGCTCTGGCCTCTCAAAGTAAGAAAAGGTCAAGTCAAATGCGCTAATTGCATTTTTAAGTTTTTACTTGCACTGATCATAATGTAGGGTGAGATTTGATCAGGTTTAGTATCTCCAATATTGAACTAATTCAAGAAAGAATAATATGTGTAGACTCAGTCCTGCGCCGCGTGGTCTTGGTCCTCATTCTGTAGACTCAGTCCTGGATCTATAGCCCGTCCATCTGTGGGAGCGGATCTTTCTCTCAATGTGAACCTCACTGGGTTTTAGAGTTGTCCTTGCCGATGCAGGGGAGTCTAACATAAAGACAGTGGCCATGATCCAGGACACTCAACATTCAACATGTATGGACTTTATCAATATTGATGTGTTTTTTATCGTTGCATTTCTTGTGTTTGAACAGTTTGATTCTCTGATCTGTTTTGGCAAATTCAACGGTTTTGTAAAGTTTTCCGAGATAACTACTGTTGTGATCAGGGCTGTACAAGAATAAAAGGACTTGAATTGAATAAAATGTTAAAAAAGCGGTAGAATCAAAGTTACTCAGAGTCTGAATGCGGGCTAACATCACAGATCATTGAGCATGGAGTGGCTGTGATTTCCTCGAGGGAACGATGTTTACAGAGACAAGAGTTAATGATTGTTTGACATGTTTGGCAGCGCAGTGATGTTACCTCAGCACACACAACTAAGTGCCCTCCCGAAGTGCCTTAAAAGGTTAAACAAGAAGAAGAAGTGGACTGAACTCTACCTTTGCCAAACCCTGAGCACTACCCATTACCCATTGTCTCTATCCTGATTATTATTACCACTAACTAGTCCTCTGTTGCTTTTGTCAGACCCAAGCGGTACAGAAGGCCATGGACGAGAAGAGGTTTGAGGACGCAGTGAAGCTAAGAGGACGGTAAGCACAACTCAAGTCATTTTTCATTTGCCTTAAAACTAACTTTTATATTCTTTTTATCAAACCCAGTCAACATTAATACAAACACTGCACATCAGAAACATACACATACAATGACAAAAAAAACACATACATTTAAAAACATAAACAAGAAACACACCAAGACATAAATAGTAATAAATGGTATGGGTTAGGACCCGGCAACGGATGAAGCGGAAGAAAATGACTGGATGGTTGGATGGATGTGTTAGGGTTATACAAATTTAAATTGTATTTTTGTTTAAAGCAACAATGCATGTCTTGTTTTGATAATTGTAAAACATAACTGCTGCTTGTTCTGATGGAAATGTAATATTCTTCATTGTGAGATCAATAAAGTTTTGGCTTATCTCACCTTATCTTTATATCTCCTTAATCTTATTTTTGTAGCTTTTTGGTGTGTGTGGTTGAGAATTTGATATATGAATGGTAATGTAGATACACGTTCTCTTGTGAAATGTGTATGCTAATTAATACGTTTGTGTTTGCAGGAGTTTTGAGAACAACTTAAGGACGTACAAACTGCTGGCTCATCGCAAACCTGAGACAGAGCTGCCAGTGGTGAGTGTGACCTGTTTATAGTTTCCAGCAACAACACGACACTAAACAAGCGGCTGTGTTTTCACTCATAACAAAACTCCTCTTCCTGCTAAACGAATGCGAATACTTTTCAATTTGCGTTTTTGTTTAGATAGCAAAATAAATGATCAAGTTTACATGGATATTTGAAGGAAATCCTAAACCTAGATTTATGTTTAAATGGCAAAATGTTGATGTTGATTATCTCAATTTCTCACTATCATCACTTTAAATAAGAAAAACAATGCTATACATTTTTGTTCCATGTTTTACTGCAAATGGCAAATAAATGATTCTGAATCTGTTCCCAAATAATACACTCAAACATAAAAACGACTTAAGAGAACAAAGGTAGTCTGGGGCACTCTTTTTTAGTGAAAAAATTAAAAGTCCTTTAATGAAGTGGACTGCCTACGCGTTTCGACCAACAGCGGTCTTCGTCAGGGCATAAATAATCACCAGCAGGTGAACCTCTTTTAAAAGCAAGGCTGTCACATGACAGGAAGAACATGTGACAGAAAATTTGACAGAACATTTTTGTGAAACAAAAATCACCAGTGTGACTCAATCATAGTGAAAAAACTATGTATAAATACATGGAGCTATACATTCAGACACATACGCACAAAGCGCCACAGGAAAAGAAGAGCGAGCGAGCATATAGATGAAGGCACCAACTGTAAAACACTGATATAACAAGAGCAGTGAAATGCCAGTTTATATTCTCATCAGTATACATTTTCAAACCGGATCACAAAACCACTGTCCATAACACATTATTCCAAACAACTACAAAAAACTACAAAAATGGGGTAAAGTCTAGTTCCTCATTTAGTCCAGGGTGATGCATAGCTCCAAGCGTATCTATCCAGTATGTCTCCCTCTGGAGCAGTTTTTTGAGTTTATCTCCTCCCCTGAGGTCCATTTTGATTATCTCTATGACCATGATTTTGAGTCCATTGATGTTGGTATGGCCCATAGTTTTAAAATGTTTGGCCAGCGGATAGTCCAGATTCTGAGTTCTGATTGCATATTTATGTTCTGCAAACCTCTCTTTCAGCTTTCTCTTGGTGCGTCCCACATAAAAGCCACCACATTCACAGTCAATTCTGTACACCACATATGTTGAGTTGCAGTTAGCAAAGCTAAGGCTTTTAAAGGTCTTCTCCTTTTTAGCATCGGTAAATGTAGTGCTCCGATTAATCTGTGGGCAATGTTTACAGGAACCACACATAAAAGTACCGGCTGGTTTTTTGAAGGAGAAGGCGGTCGATTTTTGAGGGGGCAAGTAGCTCCTCACCAGTTTGTCCTTCAGAGTGGGAGGGCGCTTAAATGAGAAAGTTGGCGTTTGTGAAAACAGTGGCCCCAGAGAATGGTCACAAGATAAAATACTCCAGTTTTTTGTGATAGTTTGTTTTATTTTGTGAGCAGTGCTGCTGTATTGTAGAGGGCAAAACATTTTATTTGATGGAGGAGTGGAACTCTTCCTTTTCAGAAGAGCATTCCGGTCTTTGCTTTTTGCCTTCATAAGGGCTGGATCAAGTGTCTTTTTAGTGTAGCCCCTCTGTCTGAATCTGCTGTACATGTCCTTCGCTTGGTGGTCAAAGTCCGATTCAGAGCTGCATATTCTTCTTACTCTTAGGAGTTGCCCAAACGGAATGTTGGAGATCAGATTCTTTGGATGAAAACTTTCTGCTCTCAAAATAGTGTTTCGGTCCGTACTTTTTCTGAAAATGGAAGTCTGCATCTGTCCAGTCTCCTCCAGGGTGATTTTGAGGTCTAGAAAGTTTATTTGCTCCTTACTGACATCTAGGCTCAGCTTGATATTGGGATTAGTATTGTTAAGAAAAGCGTGGAAGCTGAGTAGTTGTTCTTCGGAGCCTGTGAATATGAAGATGAGATCATCAATATATCTGCCATAGAATGCGATGTATTGTCTGAATGGGTTGTTGTCTCCGTATATATATCGCTGTTCCCATAGTCCCAGGAAAAGTCCTGCGTAGTTTGGGGCATATGCTGCACCCATGGCTGTGCCTTTTTGTTGTTTAAAAAGTTGATCCTGAAAAAGGAAAATGTTATTATGAAGTGTCCATTTTGTCAGACATACAATAAAATCTGTGGGTGGCCAGAGGGTTTCTCTCTTTTGTAAGAAGTATTGTAGTGCCTCTAGACCATCTTGATGGTCAATATTGGTATAGAGGGCTTCAACATCCATGGTAACAAGGAAAGCATTGGGAGCCCGTAGATCTTTTAGTTTATTTAAGACTTGTGTAGTGTCCTCCAGGTAGGACTCTAGAGAACTAGTAAGAGGTTTAATGCAAAAGTCAATGAATTTGGAGGCTGGCTCAGTCATGGTGTCGATTCCGCTAATAATTGGTCTGCCAGGGGGAGTGTTCAAGTTTTTATGGATCTTTGGGAGGAGGTAAAAGATAGCCAGTTTAGGGCTAGGGGGCAATAGGAAATCAAATTCTTGCTTTGTAATACATTTTTGGTCAAGAGCAGTATTCAAGATATCCATAAGATCTCTTTTAACAGTTTCGGAGGGGTTCGACTTGAGTGGAAGGTAATATTGTGTGTCATGAAGCTGTCTGTGGGCTTCCTTCACATAATCAGCCTTACCCCAAATGACTGTGGCGCCTCCTTTGTCCGCTCTCCGTATGATGATGTCATCATTGCTCCTGAGCCATGTAATAGCATGTCTTTCACCTAGGGACAAATTTGAACGCATCCTTATGTCATTATTTATAATGTTTTCAACATCGTGGTTCACTTTTTTCATAAATGCGTTCAAACAAGCATTGTTGCTGAGTGGAAAGAATGTGGATTTCGGCTTAAAGCTCGTGCCTTGAGTCTGTGTGGGGTTAGCAGGTGTGGTGGCCACTTGAGTGGGACGAGTGCTATACCATGCTTTGAGATGTAAGTTACGGTAAAAGCGGAATAGATCCACCTTAGTCTGGAAGTGGCTTGTATTGTATGTTGGTGCGAAAGTAAGGCCTTTGGACAAAAGCGTAATACAGTCCGTGGGGAGTTGTATGTCTGAGATATTAATTACCGTTTCCGGTGTGGCTGCCGTGGTCGTAAATGAAAGCGACCTCCTCTTTTTTCTCCCCCGTCTCGTTTTTCTCGTGTGTGAAGCGTTGCATCTGGGGTGTTGTCCAAAAAAGAATTGGTCTGGCTCTGTGGTGCAAAATCATCTTCTTCGCTGGCGCTGCTCGGGAGACTGAACGAGACCGATCGAGGTTTCCTAGCAGGCGCCCGGGTAAAGTGCCGTTGCCAAGAGTAAACTGCACCTGTGCTGTAGTCATTTTTGTCTCTTTGTGCGTATGTGTCTGAATGTATAGCTCCATGTATTTATACATAGTTTTTTCACTATGATTGAGTCACACTGGTGATTTTTGTTTCACAAAAATGTTCTGTCAAATTTTCTGTCACATGTTCTTCCTGTCATGTGACAGCCTTGCTTTTAAAAGAGGTTCACCTGCTGGTGATTATTTATGCCCTGACGAAGACCGCTGTTGGTCGAAACGCGTAGGCAGTCCACTTCATTAAAGGACTTTTAATTTTTTCACTAAAACAGAGTGCCTCAGACTACCTTTGTTCTCTTCTGACTTTCTACATGCTTAGATTGCCCCGTCTTCGAAGAACACCTGTTTTTATTTCCTTCTATCACACGTACCCTCTGCAGCACTCACCTTTTTTACTTTTAAATAAAAACGACTTAATTCATCAAATTCACTCATTAACGTCAGAGTATCTCATTTTACAACTCCAAACTGTGGTAAAACTGCTCCAAACAGCTGTTTAAAACTAACTAGCTTTGTGGTCAGAAAAGTCTAGTGGAGATAATCTGTCAGCTTGAAGTCTTACAGTGTATTGACTCACAGGCAAATGATGAAATGGTTAAAACTTCCAGTCAGTAGATTTTACATGAAGTGGCAGAAAATGTTCTAAATTTATTACAATTTCCAGCTGGATTAATGATTGTAATTTGCAATATATTAATCTGTGATTTGGATGACATTGCTATCAACCCTGTGATTTTTACCACTCATTTGTTTTGTTCTTAAAGTCTGCCTCCTCACAATGATTCAGCCTCTGCACCAACGGAGGCGGAGTGATAAGACTGTGCGAATCTTAGGAGAGCTTAAAATAAACCCCTGAATGTTTTAGATTGATATTGGTGCCTAGCAACTACATATGCTGTTTAATAAGAAAATGTAAGCTGTAGGCTACAAGCAGTAAGTCACCAGCTTTGGCCGTTCATGAATATATTGTACCATTAAAAGTCATGAGGGCAATGATTATCCAAATAAGTTGCATTTTAAACGCTCTTCAATTCAAAGGCAATCAATGTGGATTCAGAAATATACATTATACATCTAACTCTCGGGCAGTAGTTGTAGTATATATTTTGTTGCGTCAGTTAGTAAATAAGTAAGTAGCACATTTTAGTTTAGTTTAGTTATTTATTTAAAAGGACAACGGACAGGTACATTAAAAAGATGGCTGCCCCAGATTTAGCACAATGCTAATTTCCATCTGTAGTCCTTATACAATCAAAAATACAATTAAAATACATAGCAGAGTTAATTACAATACAAAACATAGACAATAAACATGCAATATATAGTAAAAGTGCAGATGAAAAGTGCCAGTTGCGTTCATAAAGTGCAGAATGATAAAGTGCAACAGTTTTCATAATTATTTTGTAGCTATACATACTTAGCACATAGATACAATAGTTTTTAACACTAATAATGTGGTGATGTGGTGGCCATCAGACGATACCCGCGAGGGTAACACCTGATGGCCAAGTACCCATCTGGTACTTTTAGTGCGAGCAGGACTGTTGATCTAAAAGCCAGTCTTTAACTGCCCGTGAAAAACTGTGGAAATCTGCATTGTTCTTTAGATTGTCTGGGAGCCCATTCCATTCTTTAGTGGCTTTGTAGGAAAAGGCTGATTGAGAGAAGGCAGACTTTCTCTTAGGAACATTGCAGTCTCCCCTGGACACAGATCTTAATGCTCTGTTGGTTAGCTGTGAGCGAAGCTGTACATATGTTTTTAGGGGGGGTGGGGCAGTATCATTAAGAATCTTATGAACCAAACGTACATTGGAATACCTAATCAGATTGTCAAAGCTTAGTATGCTGTATTTTTCAAGTATATTGCAGTGATGGTACCGGCGAGGCTTTTTATCCAGGACTTTCAAAGCCTGGTTATACAACGATCTAAGGGGGTTTAAAACCGTTGTTTTAGCTTGAGACCATGAAGACACACAATACATGATATGAGATATAATCATTGCATTAAGATATGATGTAGCTGCTTCCAATGACAAAAAGCTCCTGATGTGCTGGAAGTTGGCGATGTTAAATTTCAGAACGCGGCAAACCTTTTTAACATGGTTTTTAAAATTAAGGGTAGGATTCAGCACTACACCTAGGTACTTGATTTCTTGGACATTTTTGATCATCAAACCATCCACATAGATATTTGAGACACTTAAGGTCACCCAAAGCACTTTACAGTTGTTGAGAGTTGAGATATTTTTCAGTCAAGTACTGGTTAGACCCAGCCCACTCCCACCCCTCTACTCAATATTGTAGCTATCCGGCTATCAATGATATATGAGGTAGTCAAAAATAATTATCCTTTGACACATTTGAAGTAACTGATGTCTCTTGTATGTGTGAAAACTACAGAAATTATTGCACCATGGCCACTCAATCAAAATGTCTAAATCCTGTTTGAAAATGTATATACACCCTCGTCACATCCCAAATGTGATCTCCTCTTTATCATTTTCCCAATTGTATACATAGTTAATCATCTACTCTTTGTAACAGCAATGCCTCTTGTTTTAATCTCATAATGTAATTACTGGTTTTTAATTAAATAGCGTCGAAAGAACAAGGCTTAGTTGATTCTATTCCAGTACCAACAAATGTAATGCAGATGTTAATTATGGCTATACAGTGTTATTGGTAATCAGGTAAGAGAAGCACAGGGATAATCAGGGGGTGGAGAAGTTGTGTGCGTGTTAAATAAATGGTTGTATTCTTATTCATGGATAAATTAAATGTCACCAAATGAACAGCGTGTTCTGCAGTGTGTTGTAATGAGTCACTATTGGTGTCACAGTTTGGTGTGAAGCGTTGCCTGCAGTGAAATGATCTTGTTGAAGATATTACAGAGACGAGGAGAAAACTAGCCTGGCCATAGCCTTCCGTACACTCTGCTCAATCATCCTTTTACTGCATGTAACGTCTGGGTCTGGTCCCTGTGTTAGTGAATACAATCGGTCGTATTTACGAATGGAGCAAATCCAGACCTTAGTATGAAATGTGATTTGTACTAAGGTGTGGTACAACCAGGCTAGAACAAAACCACTTTTTCAGATTTGTCAGAAGTGTTAGAATTTCTCAAAATATTATACCCATACCAGTCTCAATACATTGGCTTCTGACATCTGCTGAAACCTGAGATGAACCAATAGCAGTAAAGGGAGCATAAAGATAACATTTTACATCAAATTACAAACAACCAACATTAGTGGGGGCTCCATCAGTGTTATTTTAATTTTTTTCTGGATATAATTGCAGAATAACTGTCTGAGTAAAAACTCCCTAGGTTATATCATGTAAACATTGTCTTATTTTAACAATGCAAAATTGAAAGATTGCGCTCCTAGCTTTAGATTTTTTACCCTCTACTACTGTACTTTACCATGTATCATCATTCAGTGTGAACGTTTCCATACAATTAATTTTTTTGAATATTGACGACAGGAGTGTTTCTGGAAATTAGTCATTTTTGGTGCTCGTCAGTTCAGGGATCAGTGTCCAGGTGCAAAAATGAAAGACAGAAGCACTCAAAAAGGATATTGTCAAGCCTTTATTAACAATTGTCAATTCAGTCAAGGCTGTGTCATCACTGACAGAACAGCCATCCTCCTGTGGACTGACCACCTGCAGGAGGATCAGTGAGGGGCTGGTGCTCTGAGAATCGGGTGGCAGCTGATGAAATGATGGAGAGGAAGAACACGGATGGAATTCAGTCAAAAAGCCTGCGTGTTTCGGCACTGTTTCTCATCAAGACATTCATATAGATAATACTGTATTTTTCATAGCCGACATTTTATAAGTATAAGTATAAACATTGGTCGATATGGGGGTAAACAATAGTGATTCATCTGCAGTGCTTGAAATAAGACCAAATATTGTTGTTAAAATTCTCCAACACTCCTTTAAAGGACTATTATGATGAATAATGCTCAATTCAGTATTTGTGAAAACGTATACAACTTTTTGTAAAACTACAGGGCTAGCAGATGTTAAATAAAACATTGTATTTTGATATATGTTGCACTACTAGTTATTATGTAGTAGCTTTTTGGGTGGCCTCAGATAGTTGAAAGATTATGGATTATCATGTCTCAAATAAATTGGATAAAGCTAAAATATGCACGGAATACTTGTTGTCAGCCTTGTGCAGACGTCTCAAATGCAGTGTGGGAGACTTCTTGTGGAGGTTCTGGCCTGGAGGTGATCGGGTAATGGCTTTTGTCAGCTCAGCGTGAAACAGCAACAGACGTAATATCGATTCACTCCCTGCAGAGAGAAAAACAAGCCCCCAACATACTCTGCTCCATTTTACAAACCTGCACTGAATCTGAAAGAGATCAATTTAACCGTATAGCACATTATCATCATCCCGTCACACAACATTGTACCATATAGTCGCACGATGGACTGGTTTATCTTCGACCTTAGCACCTACTTTTAATAATGTATGTTTTAATGAGAACGGGAAAAGTCAATATTTGTTATTATAATAAAACTGCCTTGGTAACCTAGCAACGGATAAAGAAAATGGATGGAAGGATACTAAGTAAGTAAACTTTATTTATGGCGCTTCAGTTAAATTGAGACAGTTAAACACATTAAACACACACAAAAACACATTAATAGATTACAAAAAAATACAATACCTCCCTGTGCAAATATACTGCAGGTAACAAAAAAGCAAGGCACATCTGGTATTGTGGCTTGCTTTTTTGTCAATACTTAATTAAGGCCTGTATTAATATTTGCTATCCTTATTAATTAATCCAAAAAGTTCTTTAATAAAAACATGAAATTTTGTCTGGCCCTCCACAATAGGGCGTTATCCCAATATCCCTGAAGAAAAGAATTGCCCTTGCCTGTCGTATAATGTGATTGGACAAAAATTGGTTTATCAAAAATAAAATGAGCCTTAATAATTAAACCCAGTAGTATTTTTTTCCATATTTTGGTCATTTTTACTCTTTATGAACCTGTATGAAGAATTAAATTTGCCACTCTCTCTGTACAGGAATTTGTATTTCTATTTCTCTTAACTTCTTTTTCCCAGAGCAACTTTAACGTGGCAGTGCTGAATGTGGGGGCTCCGGCCGCCGGGATGAACGCCGCTGTGCGCTCGGCGGTGAGAGTGGGCATCTCCCAGGGACACAAGATGTTTGCGGTCAGCGATGGATTTGAGGGATTCAGCAAGGGACAGGTAAGATAAGAGACCCTTTATTTGTCCCACAGTGGAGAAATGTCCATGTAGCAGCGCACATACAATACAGTAGTACTCATATTGTGTATTTTTTATATTGTTCTATTAATTTTTAATGTTTTTTTAACTTGAGTGCCTCTAGGGAGAAAAAGGTGATGTGAAAATAAGAAATAGAAAGAAAGACCCCCATCAGCTGGTGGCAGAGTCAACTCTAATCCATTTAAAACATGTTCAAAGACGTAAGATGGCATAGTTTTTAATGTTCCAGATTGAGAAGGCTCATTGACTGCCATTGACGTGCAAACACGTCCAACCAAATAGTACAGTTGTCTGCCATTGACGTGTTCACACGCTATTTTCATGTTCCTAGATGTCTATTGTATCTAATATGTATGGGGATTAGTTTTAGAGCATATTTTATGGAGCCAGCAGGTGGCACCAGCGCTGCCTCTGTATGTTTTGAAAACAGGATGCACTTGTTTTGCCTCTTTTTTCTCAGCTTTTTTCGTGATTTCAGTAAAACTTCTTTTTACTCGACTGGGGATCACAGGGGAAAGAAACAAAAATCTTTTTCCTGATGAAAGTAGACAATCCATTCTTTCAGAATCTGGTTTCAGATAGTTATAGTACACAATATTCTGTGGGTCTTGAAAAATCTGTAAAAACCATCAGAAACGGCTGGCAATGAGTTAATATTGGCATGGACCGAGATAAAAACAGCTTCTGGTATGTTTTTGATAGGGAACAATTATTGCTCTAACAACCTAAACTGAACTAACTAAATTAAAAAGCTTGACAACATTTAAATTGTGGTGGCTACAGCACGCAGAAAGAAGTATTTACATTTTTGTTCTTAAAAATACTAAAACAAAATATTTAAATAATACATTGTATCTCAAGATAAAGGGTTTTTTAAAACATATTTTATCTTTTGCATACTTAAATGGAAATAGCCCTGTGAGTCACTAATTGACAGTGTTGGGCACGTTACTTTGAAAAAGTAATTAGTTATAGTTACTAGTTACTTCTCCCAAAAAGTAACTGAGTTACTAACGGAGTTACTCCACTATAAAAGTAACTAGTTACCAGTAAAAGTAACTATTGCGTTACTTTTTTTGTTTTGTTCTGGAACATAATGTGCACCCGACGTGCGCATTTTTACCTTCAACAGTGCCAATATTTCCATCTAGAAAAGTCTGTTTTGCTGCTTTAGTCCTGTTCACTCTTCATCTCTCTCTGTGCTGTAAGCACTAAACACCAACACGCTCCACTGTGAATGTGGAAACACCAGTGAAGCACCGACTTCAGCCCTATCAGATGAACATATATATCATATAAATCAACTGGACAGTTTGTTTGGCTACAGCAAAATATGTTTCATGCCCACATTGTTTGTTCATACAAAACGCAAAACTATGAGTTATGGGTCTTACCTTATAGCTATACCTTATAAATGACCTGCACAGACCACTTCAGTTCAGACCAGTTCTCTGTTTAAATCCAGTTAATGGTTTGAGCGTAGATATGTAATCCTCCATTTGGAAATGAGTCCAATGAGTTTTAAAAAGTAAAACAAAACGCGTGTGTCCTCCATAAACTCCTCTGTTTTGCTAGCTGCAGCCGGGTGCATCCAATTTCTAAAACCAACGTCTTACACTTCACCTCTCTTTCTTATCATTCCTATAGTAATTGAAAAATTACCCTATGTGCATTTTAAATTATCTTAAAATGTGTTATATGTATGTTAGCCAAACCTGTTGCTGTCCTTAGCAGATAAACCAGGAAGAGAAAGGAGCTTATCGATGGAATTGTATGCAGCCGACTTCTGCGCTCACATGAGCTCCTCTGAGGCCTCACGGTGATAGATGCCGTAGTTGAGCGCGATTAGGAACCATATTTGTTTCAAAAACACAATTTATGACCATCCTCTCAATTGTAGATTGTGTAGATTGTAAAGGAAATATGTTTTACATCAGCCAATAATTGTTGAGAGGTTTTCTCATCCTCCCTTCTCTCATGACAACATGTTCATTGTGCGTCTTGAGTAACGCGCAGTAACGGGATGTCGGAAATGATAACGGCGTTATAGTTACTGTCAAAGTAATTAGTTAGATTACTCGTTACTGAAAAAAGTAACGGCGTTAGTAACGCCGTTACTAATAACGCCGTTATTCCCATCACTGCTAATTGAGGTGTTGGGCTGAGCGAGGGTGGTCCTCTCTTTTCCCTTTTCTGTTCCAAACATACATACACATGAAAACTCAAAACTGTTTTGAGAGCTCTGAGCTAAATGGATTGTATTTCATTGTTCCATTGTTTTGTAGTTGGAAAGTTGGGTACCCTAGCTTAAAGCTTCATTTTGAATATTCCTCTCATTGTTGTAATGTAAAAGTGCTTCAGATTCTGATGCGGTCATGTGATCTGTCTTAAATGTCAGGCGCTGGTTAAATATCCACTGAGGCCTTTGCCAAATTCAGGCTGTGCCAAGTGACCCAGAGACGATGAGTCCTGCAGCAGTAATGATTACTCCACTCTGTCCGTCTGCTGCTGCTGCTGCTGACTCTGTTTTACTGCCAAAGATTCAGGGAAAAATTTTAAAGTTCACATTTTCTGGAAAATGTGAACTCTTCCAGAAAAGTTCACATCCAGAAAACACAACAACATTTGTTGTTGTGTTTCCTTTTTCCTATGAATCAAATATATTAATACAAATAATAATAACAGTGTTTTGATTCTCTCATCTTTTTAAAAATGTTTAAAATATTGTTAATGATTAGTTTAGGACAGTATAATGAATAAGTTGTGCGATTAACTTAGTTTGTAAATGGATTAGTTTAGATAAATCACGTACAAATGTTTGATTTGTGTGAAAGTGGTGTCTATCTTCTAAATGGGTTGCAGCAAAATTGGTTGTTTGCGTTTTTATATATATTTTTACACATTTAAATTTAAATAATAATAAAGAATAAATAATAAGGCAAGTTTATTTTTATAGCGCTGTTTATACCCAACACAACTCAAAGTGCTGAATAAAACAAGAAAAAGACAGTCACACAAGGTATTACAATCATGAATAATCACAGTGCATTAAAAAGTGTCAAGATGCAATCCCTCAATTGTATACACAGTTAAACAGAACAATTTTAAACCTGGATTTGAACATTGTCAGAGAAGAAGCCTGTCTCACATTTTCAGAAAAACTCTTCCAGGTTCTAACTGCATGAATCTGAAATTCTACCTCCCATATTTAGTTCCCCAATTATAGTTCACCTAATTACAACTCCGTCTTAGACATGGAACTAAAATCCTAGAAAACTACTCCACAGCATGTTAAAACAAACGGTTTCAGACAAAAATATTCAGCAACACCATGATCACTTATCTGCCTTTAGTGAAAGAACTATAAAGACATATTTGCTCATCTTTTCTTCTCCAGATCAAAGAGATCAAGTGGGCAGATGTCGGAGGATGGACAGGGCAGGGAGGATCATTGCTTGGAACTAAAAGGTATATAATTTTTTGGAATTTACACAATGCATTTAGAGCACACATGAACATTGATGTTTTAAAACAACAATTCTGTTTCTCTAGAACACTTCCTGCGAAACATTTGGAAAAAATTGCCGCTCAAATGAGAGAGAACAATATCAATGCGCTGCTAGTTGTTGGTGGATTTGAGGTACGTATTGATGGAACATATATTGTTCTTCTACATTTGCATTATTGAATTTATAGTTCAGAACTTACCTTTTGAGTATTAAAAGTTTTGTATAACACTGGTGTAAAAAAATGTCATAGAAGCTAAGAGTTAATATTTTGCTACCAAGTATTTCATGTATAAAATTTAGGGCTGCACTAGAAATATGAATTTAACTTAACTGTTATGTCCGTTTTTAAAATTCAACCTTAGTGATTAACCAAATGACTGGATGAAAGTGTGTTCTCCTGTGCAGCCCTTAAACCAGTCCATTATGCATTCATCCTTATTAACAGATCATTCTACGCAAATGCCTTTTCTCAGCCATTTCACGCAGTCCGCCTGTTAGCGGCTCAGACCAGGCCTGTCACGATAACAAAGCTGTATTTTGAAGACCACTGAAGCACATCATCATGGAATACAACTGTGAAAGAATGTGTATACGTCCTTAGGCCATAATCTGCACTGAATAAAGAAACACAACCTATAATTTACACCAGTTTCTTTGGACTTATGTTTATGCACCAAAGACGCTTTGTGTAAATCAAAGTTGTTGATGAGGATTTCCATCAACTCAAATTAATGTGTGAACAAACATTAAGACTGATGAGCATTATTATGGCTGGGTTTGCAACAACCCAATACAAGTAAACTTATACCTGTAATCTGATCTTAGTATGGTACATGTATATGTTTGTATTGGTCGGTATATTTATGTATATACAGACAGGTATGTACTTATACATGTTCATTATGTGCTAAAGGTATTACAATACAACAGAGTGCCCATCAAGATCTATTGCCAAATCTAAATTGTTACTATAGCCTTGGGGTTTTAACATTATTAAAAGATTTGAATCTGTACTTAAGAAAGTACAGATACTAGGTACAAATTTATTACTTTTTCCAATTACAAAAACAGGACAAAATGATCTATTACTGAGGAAAAATAATTTTCTCTTCTCTTTTTATTTTATTAATTGGAAAAAGTGTGTGGGGGTTAGACTCATAGAAGGTTTTGAGTCTAATCATTAGTATCAACATTGACTTTAAAACGTTGCCGTGGTGATTATCGTGACAGGCCGAGCTCCCATTAACTTAACAAGTGCTGTGTATTTAAATGTGTTGTTGTAGTCGAGTGGTGCCTGTCTGTTTCGCTGCTGTCCGTTGTGATAGAGCTGGCTCTTCCCTTGGCGCCTTCACTTTTGCCTTTTCCTTTTGTGGCAAGTAGCACCTGTGCACCCACCCCCCTCACCTCACCTTCTCCTGCCCTCACCGATGCCCCTCCCCCCGTGAAACTAAAAACCCGGCTCTCCTCGCAGGCTTTGCTGTCCCTGCTGGAGTTGCAAGCGGCGCGAGGGACATTTGACGAGTTCTGTGTCCCTATGATCATGGTGCCGGCCACTGTGTCCAACAATGTACCGGGGTCAGACCTCAGCATTGGGGCAGACACCGCCCTGAACGCCATCACCACTGTAAGTGATGGAGACTTGTGCGCTACGTGTTGGCATGCGGAGTGCAAGCATGCGCAAATGACTGAAGTGTTCAATGCAGAGGGAAGGGAGGAGGAGAGAGGAGAGAGAAATGCCGTTTTATCAAATCATAGAGTATATTATAGTCTAGGGACTATATTATATTGTGTACATCAAAAGACAAACTATTTAACAAACTATATACAGTTTCAAAAGGGGTTGGATGAAGCAGACCCTTATTCTGCTCTATCAATTATAAAGTAAATTATATTTTTTATTTTTTATTTATAACATGTTTGTTCAGTCAATAACAGATTATACAATTGAAGCAATCATGGTCAAAAAGGCAGGTTCACCTTTCTATGTCCAGGAAAAACAAAGTTTTATTATGTGTAAATTAAAGCATTTGCAAGCCAGTTTCAACGCAACACCTACTGATAGAATGTGTTCCTCCTGAGTGTTGTGAACAAGACATAAATCACTGCAATTCACAACAAATTATATTTGTGACTGGGCCCAAATTCAATGAAATGCATAAACACTATTAGAGTAAAAAAGCTATCTAACGGCTGTATCTTGCAGCATTTCCAATAGATCCAATCTATTGTGTTACATGATGCATTATTAGTTAATAATAAAAAACATAAGACATTTATGGGCCAACATTGACAAATGTAAACTGTCACATTGCCATATTCCCAAATGTCAGAAGTAGAAAGTCAAACCTGGCTCGCTCTTTACTCTACATGCTTTACATTCTTAGATGTGAAACTGTACTAAGCGACTGCACGCCGACCACCTGACATTGCATCTCAAGTGGTCTATATCCATGAAACCACAAAGACACACTTAAAATACCCACAGATAAGGGTTGAGAACAACAGCCAGTTCTCTCCAGCCGCCCTCCCTTCCTCCACCAGTCTAGAGGTAAGTAAGAGTGAAACATGAAGCATGCTGGGAGCTGTCCACCATGTTTGCTCTGAGTGTCAGTCACGTACAGTCCTGAAGATGAGTGACATGTCCGATTGAATGCTTTCCCAGTGACTCACAAGCAGCGGACAGAAATGGTATTGCATCTGAATTTTGAGGACAGTCCCAGAAAGCGTCTGCTGTGTGTTGGAGTGGTGTGTTGCTGGGATTAAGAGATTTCACATTTGCACATTTGTTGTTATGTCATCAATTTGACTCACGTCACTGGGAAATATGCAATCACCGAGACTTGAAGAGGTAGACAAGAGTCCCAAAATTCTAGTAAAATTTAGTTGAGGGTTAGATTTCTATTGATAATTGAGTGTCATGGAAGGATTGTTTCAATACTAAAACTAGTATACTTAAAATATCTCATATTCAAGATAAGATTGGACCGTTCCTGAACAGTTTTAGAAAGATTATGGTCAATAAAACGGCTCAAAAGTACCATAACATACTAAGACTACTATTGTTGTTTTCCATCATACAAGAGCGTTTTAAAATTATCACTGTGATCTAAAATGAATGAATATACAACAATGTATGTACCTTATTGCACCTTTTTCAAGCCATCTTTTCATTCAGCTCGACTTGACAAATCCATTCTCGGCTTATAATACTCAAAATGCTCTTTGGAAAACTGTGCAAAGTCTGACTTCAAATGTAAATGACGGACTTTGCCAAACAGGCGTCAAATTAAGGATTAAATGACTAGAACAGAGGCACACCAAGTCTTCATCCGGACGAAATTGGATCTGGGCAAAGCATCATTGCTCCATTAGAGTTCAATAAATTGGGGAAGCTTATATTTACAATTTTTTGCTTTCATTAGAAATATGAATTAAAACTGGAAATCTCGTTATGTTGGATAAAGTTAGCAGCAAATAATCATTATGTAATCAAATCATAAATAATAACAATGCTATAAAAGGCTCCAATTTTGTTTTGTTATCACACTTCATCATTTTGAGTGACAGACAGAACATCCATCCAACCTCCAGTACATTTTCCATTATTCTTTTCTCTCTCCTTGTTTTCCACTTCCCCACCTTTTTTTCTTATCTTTCGTTCCGAACCTCGACTTTCATTTTCTCGTCTCATGTCTGCCAAAGGGAAGCCATCACCCCTATCACACGGAAAGAGCCGGAAAAGGCAGGATCCGCTCGAGCTAGCACACAGAGATTGTCCCTGTGTGAATGGCTGGCCTTCCTGCGGCTCTAATGCATAGTTCTGTTCATATACCCATGGCCACTCCAGGCACTAGAGAGTCTGCTGCAGCTGTATGATGCCAGAGGACAGTTTGAGGAGTTTTGCATCCCCATGTGCATTCTACCCGCCACCATAAGTAACAATGTCCCAGGCACAGACCTGAGCATTGGGGCAGACACGGCCCTCAATGCCATCGTGGAGGTAAGGCGCTTAGGACACACTGCCTATAAAAGGTTTTGATAGTAGAGATCAGACGGTACGTTGTAATCATGAATTCAACATTTTCCAATCATTGCAGTAAGATTCCTTTCTTACACTGCAAAACAATATAACATGAGGTACTGTAGTAATAGCTTCAATCAAGTGTTTTTTTTTTTTTTTTTTTATCTTAATCTGACTGTCTTAACAAGGTTTGCCAATGGGACAAAGCCATTTAGTCTTTTTTCAACAACAAAATATTTTGCTTGTCTCATTGGAAAAAAATCAAATTATGCTCAAATTAACATACATTTTTCTAAAATGGAGCAATATTTGACAATTGTTTCATCGCTTTTTGACCTGCAGTGCACCTAATTTTATGGGTTATTCTAAATGTATAGAGAGCTATTGTTGAAATTAGTATGCCTGTTATTAATATAACTATGGCAAGTTTATTATCATAGCCCAATTCATGGCTGATACTGGCATTGTGTGCTTAAGCTGCTTTACAAGTGGAATGTATGGAATGTACACAAGTTTTCGTGATTTTAAAATAGACAACTGTCAAAACCTATTACAATGTTACATGTGTAAAGTTTTTCACAGACAAACATAAACACCTCCTTTTTCCTTGTCTCTGTGGGAGTTCACGGCTTTGTCCCCATGGTATTACTTTGAACAAAATGGCAAGTTTATTTGTATAGCACAATTCATACACAAGGCATAACTTAGGCCGAGGTTTTGAAAAGTATTTAAAGCCAGACTGTAGATTATTCAAAGCAATGGCATCTCTGCAAGAAAAGTAGGTTTACTAAGCTCTCTTCAATGTTTATACGCTGATTGTTTGAAATTGAGGCCACTCTAGGGTAATGTTATGATATGCTTATGCGGAAACACAAGCCTGCTGATGTCTTTTGTAAGGTCTTTTTTAGCTGTAGATCCACACTGTACTTAACTTGAGCATATATACGTTGACGGTGAGTGTGTTTGGTGATCATGTGTTGGCATGATGTTTTATCTATGTTATTTCCTCTATTCAACCTATGACAGAGTAGATTAGTTGCAAAATCTATACGCATGCCTGGAATGCCATGTTATTGTACTGTTTTTCCAGTATGTTTTCATGTACTGGATGAGTGAAAGCTGTACTTACTGTTCGTCTTCTTCGCTCCTCAGACCTGTGACCGGATCAAGCAGTCGGCCAGCGGGACCAAACGGCGAGTGTTCATCATTGAGACCATGGGCGGATACTGCGGGTACCTGGCCAGTGTGGGGGGGCTGGCCTCCGGGGCAGATGCGGCTTATATATATGAAGAACCATTCGATATCAAAGACCTACAGGTGAATTAGTATAGTACAGTAATATAACATTGGACACTTACAATACGCAGCACACTAAGAGAAATGTGGCACAAGTAATAAATATATGACCTGGATCTTTTTACAACTCTCTGTGTAGGTTTCCTCTGGGTGCTCCGGTTTACCCTACTACTAAAAACTTGTATAGTTTTGGCATGGACCTCCTATATGGGGACCCCATTTCCATCTCTGTGTGGAGTGAGAGACCGATGCCCACTATAGTAAAGTGCTTTGTTAGTCTATTCTGTGAAAGGCGCTATATAGATAAAGATTGCATACTTACTTAATAATATAGAATTCTTAAAGCTTGCATACCTAACTTTCTAGCATACATAATACAAGTTGTTTTTGCCAACAGAATAGGTTTTGTAAAAGTATTTTGTGAACAACTTGGGTCCACCCAATGCTGTCTTCATCTTATCAGAAAACTTTTTTGCATACTTATCCAAAAGTGCCATATGAGTCACTATTTGAGGCTTTGAGTGAGCATGGTCCTCTTTGTCACTTTTCTGTCTGAAAAAGCTGATTTTTGGATGTGACAGATGCTAACAATACATGCATTTGAAAACTAGTGATAGAAGTGATGTAATGTTCAGAAACTTGCTAATAAATTATATGCCACCAACATCAGCTCTTGTTCACAAATGTTGAATATAAATCCACCCCTGGATTGTACAGTTACATCATCAGACCTCATCATATTTATAAAACTGACTTTTCTGTCAAAATAATACGACTTTTACAACGTAGCAGCTGCCTGTAGTATTCACTTCTCTCCACTGGGGGGCATTCGACTCCCATTATGCTTCAGCTGATTAACGTGAAGCGCCATCTGCTGGTGATGATCCATATTTCTTGTCTCTTATTTCTACAGGCAAATGTGGAACACTTGACAGAGAAAATGAAGACCAGCATTCAGAGAGGGCTTGTTCTTAGGTAAATATTAATAAAATAATCAAAGTAGATACATGTATGTAAGCGTGTATTTATACTAGGCATCTTGCAGTAACTATAACTCTTTGGGACTGCTTTTTAAAATCGTTTCGTTAATTTGTATGTGCTCCATTAAGCTATTGTTCTCTCTGTAATGTCATAATATTAACAGGCTGTATATAATCTAGAATATTGTTTTAAAGGTTTCTGAAACATTATATGCAGGAACACTTTAATCAAGTGTTTTTTTACTGTAATTTGAGTACATTCTGAGGGTCTATAAAGAAGATTTGTCAAAGGGACAAAGCCATTTAGTTTTATTTCAAGAACTGCTGCTTTATTTTCTCATTCTAGAGGAAACATTTCATGAATCTTTTTAAAATAAGCAAAACATCAATTTGCTGGTCTCATTGGCAAATCTTGTTTAAGGTAGTTTTTTTTCATCACTTTTTTATGTGTGTTGTACAAATACTTTTCCTTCTTCTTCTAAATATGTTTTTCTTTGTGTTTGTATAGAAATGAGAATTCCAATGACAACTACACGACAGACTTCATATACCAGCTGTACAGTGAGGAGGGCAGAGGAGTGTTCGACTGCAGGAAGAATGTTCTGGGCCACATGCAGCAGGTGTGCCTCTCTCTAAACTCCAGGATTACAGCTTTTAGCAGCAATTTGTCCAGACTTTTAATTACCTCCAATAGAACTAACTGTTTAATGAAGCGTTTACTTGCCTTCCTTATTTGTACTTACTGACTAGACAGGATTATTGGCTTCTGTGAGTGCTGGGATGAATGCAGGTAAAAATAGACGAGACGAAAGCTTTGAGATCTCCCCTGAGGAAAGCCTGAAGAAAGTACGCAGTCGCAAATAGAATTAACTCAAAAGTACATGTTGTAAGTGCTGTCTTCTGGTTAATCAATTAGTAGTAGAATAGATTGTGAAAGACTTGAATAGACCAGACCTGTATAGACTGTTTTTGGGTGTTTTTGTCTTCTTGCTGTGACCGGCTTGTGTCCCCTTGACCACTTTGAAGCTCTCCGATTGGTGCGCCAGTCTGTTCGGCGTCTCGCTTCTGTTAAGATCAGGAGCTATAGTAATTAAATTAAAATAAAATAACTAGCATAAAAAAGTCTCAAGTAGTAAGTATAAAATCTCTACCTTTTAACAATCATTGAAACTTTTAGTATGTCACATTAAATAGTTGTTGCTTCAGTGTCAAATCAACCCCTAATAGTAATGACAATTAAATGATGAAGACCAATGTTCAGGTGTTTTGCAGTGTTTTGAGCCATCTAATTAGTAATTTTCTCGTACAGGGCGGTGCACCATCTCCTTTTGACCGTAATTTTGGCACAAAGATTTCCGCCAAGGCCATGCAGTGGGTCACGAACAAACTCCTGGAGACTTTCAGACACGGTAACCCAGCTTCAATAATGATAGTGACAATCCTGTGTTAGTAGAATTGTGCTGTGTAATATATGGATCAAATATATTATTGTGTTAGCTTCCCGTACCAAGGATTTGTTTGTGGATTACAACCAACTGTCCCCAAATGTGTCATGGAGTCACTGTTGTCTTGACACGCAATGTATATCAACAGCTTTACTCAAAGTACAGCTTGCTCATTGAAATGCTGGACAATGCATGCAAAGTCTAAACTGTGTGTGTGTTTCCATCATTCTTCAAACTCATGGATGACGAAAGACGAAGGTAAATATTATGGCTCCATGACCGCCCCCTGTCCATCTGCCTGTAGTCCGTCAGCCTTTTCATGTTCACGCTTCAAACTCCGCTCCAGCTTTTTCTGTTGCATCTGTGTAGTCCGTATTCTAACACTAGATTTTGTTAACGTTATGTCAACACCAGTGAGATGTAGTATTTTGATGTTTTTGGATGAAAGTACGGCTGAGGTTGGTGGTAAAGGTGTTTTTAGGAAGAGCCTGCACGCCTAAGGGCTGGTGTGGAGGAGATTCACACACTGTCTCCAAGTATTTACAAACACACCATATGTAAAGGCTACTTAAATGAAAGGAAAGAAAATGTTTGATATTCATGAAATTATTGTTGAAAAAGAGGAAATGAATGAAAGTTTGTTTAAGAGAAAAAAGTAGCAGTAGTTTATTTCTGAAAACATTCCTTTAAAGACATTTCTCGGGATGCAACAATCAAGCAAATCCATGTGCAATACCGATTTTTATACTTTATTTCTTCATAAAGTCAGCAACCAAAATCATTTTAATATCCAAAATGTGACAATTACACAGACTGAAAGGGTTATGTTGAAGTCTATCCCTTATTTCACCTAACCCCAATAAATTCCAAGTTTAGTAGCTGCATCACATCCATAGACTGTATATAGATAGACTATTCTAAGCCCCCATCTCAAAGAAAGTGCTCGTGGACAAAGTTTTGATCCAACTGACAAGGGTTCCTTCTGACATTCACAAGTAAACATTTCTAGCTCAACTGTTTGTGTCACACACACCATTTTACACTTTAAACATAGAGAGTAGCACAAATAGCCTGCTGAAGCTAGCTCTAATCAGGCTAACACTATGGATGACGTCACTCCACTGCTAATACAGTCTATGGTCACATTAAACAAAAGACCAATCAGGACATGATCAACTTAATCCCTTTTCCCTGATCTGCAGTTTCGGTATTTGTGCGTCCCTAGAAATGTCCCCCAAGGAACAAAAAATGCATAGATGCTTTTAAAACCACCTGCCTGTGTAGTACTTCACTCGCTTCCAAAAACCGCTTCACGCCCCACGCTGCTCTCTGTCAATCCCCTGTTCACACATGAGCCAACTTTTTTTTTTTTTTTATTTTATTGTCACCTCTGATAAATACAGGAAATACAGGGAAAAACTTAGATCACATTGAAAAGCGATTTGTTAATATGTAAAGTTCATAATTTATACTAAAGGCTTGTTCGTACTCACAGGCGAAAGTGCTTTTTATGGGGTAAACAAAAATTTAGTTTTGACTTTCCAAGTAAAAAGCAAATGGGCTTTTTATGGGGTGTTTGTGGTCCATTATTGCAGCAGATTTCACAGTTCTCCTGGGGAAGACCGGTTCTCACAGCCCGAGCGTGGGAAATACACTTTAAACAAAGGTTTCAAAAAGACACACAAAAATAAAAATAAAAACATGTGCCTATTGCGAGAACATTTCGACAATGTTTAGAAGGCTTTGAAATAAATAAAAAAGTTGAATTTTAAGGTGCGCCCACATTGCTTTTGGATTAAAGGTCAAATATTCAAAATCACCGTTTCACAGCCCTTTAGTTGTTACCCCTTTAATGTTAAATTTGCCTCTGATCCATGCTTCTCTTGTTTTACACATACAGTAACCAGGGTAAAGACACTACTTTAATGTTGTGCTAAATGAATAGTGTGAATAGTAGAACTGCACAATATATCAAAATAATATTGTCATTGTGATGATAGCAAGTGCGATATCCAAAGGGATTTCTCTGTTATTAATACGTATAAATCCTATGTTTTTTTTTGACTAATCACCTGTACTCCCGAAGTCCTGCTTATTTGTTAAAAAGAAATACAGTTTCAAAACATCAGACTTCAGTAGAAAGCGACATAACAGATGTATAGTGGAAAAACCAAGATCATCTAGAGACACCACACACAACGAGAGCGCTCACTTTGTGCTGAGCAAAAAACAATCTTACAAGTTTTTACCCAAATATATATATATATTCTTTTGATACATGATATGAACAATAATATAACCTTATTTTTTTTAGCATGTATGTTCTTATTTTCAAGGGGTGGGACTGAAATCACAATATATTTGAAATGAAAAATAAGCCAAGGTCCATGGGAGAAAAGAAGACATCACAATATAATGCCGTTACTGCAGTCCTTGACACCGCTGTCGTACATCATATATCAGACTTGTTTCCTATATCGTGGAGTTCAACAGAGTAGTGTTTAATGTCGGTGAAGTCGAAGTAAGTATAGAAAATCACACTCAAAATGTAAGAATTGTGAAAACTCATTTTGACTTGTTACAACTGTCTGGAGGTGGTAAAAACTACCTCTATACGAGCTCATAAAATCTGTAAAATTGCCTCCACCCCCTCAGACTTTATCAGAGGTGTCAATCTCAGTCCAGGGCGTTGTATACTTTGATTGCGTCTCTAATTGCATTGTGTCCCGCAGGACGCGTCTTTGCGAACACTCAGGACTCGTGCTGCTTACTGGGCATGCGGCGCCGGGCCCTGGTCTTTCAGCCGGTTGTGGACTTGAAGGACGACACTGACTTCATGTGAGTATCCTGGAAACAAAGACTACAGTTCTTGTATGGCCCTAAATCACAACAGTAGTTATCTTTGAAGAGGTAACAAAACTCTTTAATTCGCCAACACAGATCAGAGAATCAAACAGTTCAACACATTAGTATTAGTTCATAAGAGGCAGAGACCAACGTCCATAAATATTGATACAGGTTGCTGCTGTAGTGTAATTGTAGTTCCAATACATAACATTTTATAATATTTTCTTGATGTAATATATAGTTCATGAGAATCTGTTGTTGAGAAAGGTCTATGGTATGATGGCATGGGTGTCAATTTAGATAGATCGATATTTTATTGATCCCCGTAGGAGAAATGTCTGTGTCTAGCAGCAAAAACACACAAGCACATCAATTCTTAGAGTGTCTAACCAAAGTGCACTTTTACCTATATTTGTTACAAATTCAATGTATTCTTGCATAGCATAAATCACAACAGTAGTCATCTCAGAGGACTTAACAAAACCATTGAAATCACCAACACAGATCAGATAATCAACAGTTAAGACACAAAAAATATAGAACACATGTGTATTGGTCCATAGGGAGAGAACAATGTCCATGAATGTTGATAAATGTCCATACATGTTGTAGAATGTTAAAGTGTCCTGGATCATCACCACAGTCCTAACAGGACCTAAGCTACAGATCGAGGACCAGGGCCACATAGCAGATGTAGAACAAGGACAGGTGCGGTGCAGGACTGAAGCGACTCCCAAGCGGGCAGGGGTGCAGTCCACAAGGCGGTAAAAACATGTAATCCTGAAAGCAGAATTCATTGGTCATATGGGTTGCCAGTTCCAAAGACTATTTTTCACTAAACACTCAGCACCTGCAGCACATTATTCAGTTGGAGCTGAGTCTCTGTAAGACACTGGTTTAGTTGTAATAGCACAGTTTACGGTTGCCATGGCCACCCTAATATTTACTGTCTCTGGACCACAGACAGCCCCATGCGGAGATGTGCAAAAAGTGCCAAATGGTACGTGGCCAGAATATTAGGCAATCTAAATGCAAATACCCAGAAATAACTTTTGTATTTGTAACATTGGTCTGTAAATAACATCTGACTTCACTCTTTCTAAGTATCTAAGTAGTTTCTGGTTTGCTCCTCTTTGTTGGCATTTTCATCGCCCTGGATACAGTATGTTGAATCACCTTAAATAGGAGGATGAATTCCCCCACGTTTAACCATGACGGCTCCTGGCTCATTCAATCAGCCTGATTTCCCATTTAAATGAATGCCAGAATAGTTGCATGTCTGAAAAGGTCACTTTGGAAGTGACATGAACATATATTTTACTTATACTAGCTGCATAGCTAATATAGCTATATACAGTGCCTTGCGAAAGTATTCGGTCCTCTTGAACCTTTCAACATTTCTCTACATTTCAGGCTTCAAACATAAAGATATAAAATTTTAAATTTTTGTCATGAATCAACAAGTGGGACACAATCGTGAAGTGGAAATTTATTGGATATTTTAAACTTTTTTTAACAAATAAAAAACTGAAAAGTGGGGCGTGCAATATTATTCGGCCCCTTTACTTTCAGTGCAGCAAACTCACTCCAGAAGTTCAGTGAGGATCTTTGAATGATCCAATGTTGTCCTAAATGACTGATGATGATAAATAGAATGCACCTGTGTGTAAACAAGTCTCCGTATAAATGCACCTGCTCTTTGATAGTCTCAGGGTTCTGTTTAAAGCGCAGAGAGAACCATGAAGACAAAGGAACACACCAGGCAGGTCCGAGATACTGTTGTGGAGAAGTTTAAAGCCGGATTTGGATACAAAAAGATTTCCCAAGCTTTAAACATCTCAAGGAGCACTGTGCAAGCAATTATATTGAAATGGAAGGAGTATCAGACCACTGCCAATCTACCAAGACCCGGCCGTCCCTCCAAACTTTCATCTCAAACAAGGAGAAGACTGATCAGAGATGTAGTCAAGAGGCCCATGATCACTCTGGATGAACTGCAGATAACTACAGCTGAGGTGGGAGAGTCTGTCCATAGGACAATAATCAGTCGTGCACTGCACAAATCTGGCCTTTATGGAAGAGTGGCAAGAAGAAAGCCATTTCTCAAAGATATCCATAATAGATATCCAAGTCTCATTTAAGTTTGCCACAAGCCACCTGGGAGACACACCAAACATGTGGAAGAAGGTGCTCTGGTCAGATGAAACCAAAATCTAACTTTTTGGCCACAATGCAAAACGATATGTTTGGCGTAAAAGCAACACAGCTCATCACCCTGAACACACCATCCCCACTGTCAAACATGGTGGTGGCAGCATCATGGTTTGGGCCTGCTTTTCTTCAGCAGGGACAGGGAAGATGGCTAAAATTGATGGGAAGATGGATGAAGCCAAATACAGGACCATTCTGGAAGAAAACCTGTTGGAGTCTGCAAAAGACCTGAGACTGGGACGGAGATTTATCTTCCAACAGGACAATGTTCCAAAACATAAAGCCAAATCTACAATGGAATGGTTCACAAATAGACGTATCCAGGTGTTAGAATGGCCAAGTCAAAGTCCAGACCTGAATCCAATCGAGAATCTGTGGAAAGAGCTGAAGACTGCTGTTCACAAACGCTCTCCATCCAACCTCACTGAGCTCGAGCTGTTTTGCAAGGAAGAATGGGCAAGAATTCCAGTCTCTCGATGTGCAAAACTGATAGAGACATACCCCAAGCGACTTGCAGCTGTAATTGCAGCAAAAGGTGGCGCTACAAAGTATTAGCGCAAGGGGACCGAATAATATTGCACGCCCCACTTTTCAGTTTTTTATTTGTTAAAAAAGTTTAAATTATCCAATAAATTTTGTTCCACTTCACAATTGTGTCCCGCTTGTTGTTGATTCTTGACAAAAATAATAATTTGTATATCTTTATGTTTGAAGCCTGAAATGTGGCAAAATGTTGAAAGGTTCAAGGGGGCCGAAAACTGTATTTGCTAAATTTTCACCAGAAAGAGAGTGACCAGAGAGTGCAAACTAGATTAGCACATGCACAAGAAACACAAAAGCAGCAAAAAAATAATAAATAGAAAGTTAAAATATAGAAACAGCAGCTTTTCTTATCAATCTACTTTAACGCTGCAAAAAAGCACCAAAATCCCGGCACTTGATGCGAGTCTGTAAAACCTGATGAAGTCACAGTGGATGTCCTCATAGCGCAGCGTGACAAATCTGTGAATAGCAATAGTGTTATGTGGGAGGTGAAGTGACAAAGGGATTTAGACAAAACGCACAGGATTGGAATGGGATTCAGCCGGAGAAGGCACGGCTTAAGTCTTAACTCCACTGTGCACTCAAAACGGTGGAACAAATGACTACTGTAACAGGCAAATCCCAAAAGGCAATGTAAAAATGGCCGCTTGAGTTACTGCTATAATTGTGTCTATATGTACGGGCAACCTAAAGAGATCGTGCGAATCAATCGTATCTTATGTGGTTTCAAAAGACTTTATTTTCCCTTACAGATGGAGAACCTATGCTTTCGTTTGTTCCATGAACACATTTTTTTGTCTTGTCTTGTCTTTTGAACAATACAGACCGCAACACGCAGAGTTTGCTTTATTAAATGTAAATTATATCATACTTTTTAGTGTAATATAATTTAAATTTGCATACTTGTCAGAGGGTACGCAAGGAAGGGGCCCAAGGTGTCACCATTTGACTCATTGGGTTGAAAGCTGATTGGCTGAGTGAGGGTGCTCCTCTCTTTACGATGAGCAACATGAGGGACAGGATTTTCTTCATATATTTAATATGATCACAAGGACAAAATATAACATCTTCTGTCTGTAATAATTGATCGAAAGATGTGATAAAACTATCGATGGAATCACAAAGTTTGATAACTTCAGCTTTTCTAAATATGTTTTCAATGAGGGAAAAAGATTACCACAACAATAGTTTATTAAAATAAAATGAAACCCCAATACCAAAATAAGTCTTTAACACTCCAGGTTAAAATCACCCAGTTACAATAAACAATGAATTATTTTCAACAAAAAAGTGTCTCCCATCCACAGACTGTGGATCAGGCATGTGCAAACTCAGACCCATTAATGAAGTACTAATGGGCAAATTTTAGCTCGAACCCCCTCTGGCTCCTATTGACCATTTGGTGCTTTCAAAACGCATAATTTTAAACTCTTTTATCCTGGTTTGTGTGATGAGTGGAAGACGACGGAATAGTTTAAAAAAATATTATATAAAACCAGATTTTCTTTCTGAAAATGCAAATCTTTTATTCAATGCATTATAATCTGTCATTGATGATGCCCCCCGTGCCCATTACCCTGATCATTAAAACAGGCCTGTTGCTTTAAGGATATTAAAAAGACAGAGAGGTCATGTCTTCACTTAACACCCTTCTAACTGGACAAATGTTTGCATAGTGCGGCGCATATTACAGCCATTAAAGTGATGTATATAAATAAGGAGACAGATGATCAGCTCTGTCTGGCTGCAGTCACAAGACGGAAATGTATTAAAATGGCACCAGGTCTTTAGCTCTGTTCATTAGCTTTGATTAGCGCAGTCTTAACGAGCGCTGTGGTTAATGCTAATGGATGTATTATAGACTGTATCTTCATCCATTCACTTTTTTCTCTCCAATGCCAGTTCCCATTACTAATACCACACACAACTCACCAAGAAGGATGCTTAAAGTAAAAAAAATTAAATATTTCTGCTAAATATTAAAGTAAATGTGAAACAGGTAATTGATGTTTAGCTCAGTGAATATTGTGAGCGTTTTTTTCACAGAAATGTTGAAATGTGAGTTTTCTGTATAATTTTCTGTTAATTAGGAGCTTGCATGGCTCTCAAATCTAAAGTATTTATAAACTATTAGTTAAACTCTTGAAGTCTTTGTAAGCGACAATTATAGCTTCCTTCATCCTGCTGTAGTTTGTGAATATGTTAAGGAAAATGTATGTATTTTATTACAAATAGAGACATTTCTCAAAGTCTACAGAAAATAACATCCAAGCAATTGAATCTTTTTGAGCCAGAATTGTGAATTTTCTTTTGATTCTGATTTTTTACCAATTAAAGCTTGGGTGCCCAAATTTCAAACCACAGCAAATTAATGGTACTACATTAAATCCATCTAACTCGCTTTCACGTGCATGTATTTTTGGCCTCTGTCACATTTTCAGATCAGCTTTTTTCAGACAGACAAACGAAAAAGAGAGGACCACCCTCACTCGGCCAATCAGCTCTCAGCCCAAAGTGTCAAATACGTGGTAGATAGTATGCAAAAGTTGGCTTGTCATGGTCTGATTTATATGTCATATTTAACCTTTGCAAGGCTGTTGGAACTTTCAATATGTATTATATACTGTATGTAACAAGAAAGTCAGGTACCCCAGCTTTAAGTAGCTAACGTCACTAGTATAAGAGTGTTGCGACTCCAGTTTATTTTGCAGATAAAAAGTCTGGATTCTGCTCTAAACTTTGGCCCGTCTGATTTCTCTGCAGTCACCGCATCCCTAAGGAGCAGTGGTGGCTCAAACTCCGCCCCCTGATGAAGATTCTGGCGAAGTACAAGACGAGTTACGACGTTTCTGACTCCGGGCAGCTGGAGCACGTAGTCGGGAGTCGCCCCAAAGACCTGGACGCCGCCGCCGCCATGTAGACCCCTGCAGCCCCCCCAGCCCCCCACCCCCCTCAACGACGTCACAGCATTTCTCCAGAGTACGGTGGCTGTGAAGTCCAGTTCTGTCTGTCTCTGTCTCTCTCTCTGTGTGTGTGTGTGTGTCTGTGTGTGTGTGTGTGTGTGTGCAAGAGTGAGATAGCGCCTTGGTCGGGCTCAGACTGGAGCCTTCTGCCTTGGACTTGCATTTCAAATAAGTCTGCACACTATATTCAAAATAACTTGGAGAAAAAAGGAATAGCGAAGGTCACTTTTTTTGTAATGTACTGTATTTAGACCAGATGGTTTAAGTTCTCCCCCGAACCTAACTTGGGCATAACCCAATTCTCAGTGACCATGAAACAGAGGATTTTGGATGTTTATTTGGTCTCAGACGTTGAATGTTTTAGTTCAAGTTTCTTAAGACCCGTGTTGTTCCTTTTTTCTATTGGCACTCTTTAAAATTCCATCGGATGCAAAAATCATTAAGTTTAAGATTATATGTTTGTGATATTGTGGTCATTTTGGCCTAAACATCTTCTGCTAAATTTCCTTTGGCTCATCATGTGTGAAACTGTGAACGCCTCGAGCAGCAGTGGTTCTCAAAGTGAGGAGAGGGACATTAGCGCTTCTCATTGTGTTTTTGTCTGGATAATTAACACACAGCACAATCACCTCATTTAAATAAAATGTGGTCAAACGTGACAAAAAATGACTCGAATAAAAATCACTATATAGGAATTAAGATATTTTGTTGTTTAAAGTCATTGCAGATTTACATTGTATACAGCAAGGACGGTTGGGGAATGATTTCATGCATATTTTGGGGTCCCTGACTAAAAACAGTGAGAAAACCTCCACTGGCCCAATCATTACAATAGATGCATAGAATAGGACTGCGTAAAAATGTACTCAAAGCATTGGAAATTTTCATATTTTGTGTTTTGAGTGTAGAGCTGCAACTAACGATTATTTTGTAATCGATTAATCTATCGATTATTTTTACAATTAATCGAGTAATCGCTTGGCTGTGAATTGTGTAGAAAAAAAATATTTTTTCATCACAAAAAGCTAAAGTGGCAACACTCGAGGACGTATTGATGGCGTAAACTTAAAGTAAATGTTTGTAACAGGCGCTTTGTGCTAATTCTGCTCTGATTGGATGAGACAGACAGATATTCATGAAATTATAAAAACAAAGTTGGTTTTAATCAAAAATACTACATTTTCATGTCATTTTTGCTCGGTTTGAGTCTGTGTGAACCAGAAAACGATTAATCGATTACTAAAATAGTTGTCGACTATTTCAATAATCGATTAGTCGTCGATTAATCGATTAGTTGTTTCAGCCCTATTTGAGTGTGACTAAAGGGAACGGTTAGAATCACTGTCTGAACATAAAAATACTCGACTGGAAGCTGATGCACAAATATATACTGAATTAAGTACATGGTTCCCAGACACATTGGTAATATATTGTGCAGCCTTAAATACTTCCAAACCACTTGATCTGAACGTGTGTGTGTGTGTGTGTGTGTGTCTGTATGTATTTGTGTGTGTCACTGAATGAAACTTGCACTTTCCTCTGTCTCCAGTGGCTTTTGTGAAGACAGACTCTTTAGGCGACAACTGTATAAATGTTGTTTTTCCTGTAAAATCCAGTGCATCTGCCAGCGGTTTACCATATTTATGACTGATGCAATACTGCTACTGCAAGAGGAGCGCGCGCGTGTGTGTGTGTGTGTGCTTTACACTTAGGAACTAATATTTATCTTTCTAACATTGTATTTTATTTTTGCTCGTAAAGTTTATGGATATATATATTGAATAATAAGTGTAGGCACGGCTGGATTAAGTAGATGTCTGTCTTACCGCACCAGGATTAGATGTTTCCCACTGAATAAATTATTCGACCAATGCACCCCGTCTGTTTTGCATTTTATATTTCAACACTTAAACAATCAAATTTGACTGAGTTCCGCTTTTTGCTTCATGGGTTCTGAGGAGGAGAAAATGGGTGCTAAACATAATATAATAATAATATAACAAAACGTTAAATGTGAGGTACTTAAATTTAAATGATGCGCGCAATTTGTCTCAAGCAAAAGTCCTGTAAATGTAAAATGTTATGAATAAATCAGACCACACCACATTATCTTTTTCATACTTGTCAGAAAGAGCACTCTGATTTTTGCTGAGAGCTGATTGGCTGCTTCTCTTTTTCACTTTTCTGTTTGAATCTAAAGATGTCAGAGACCATAAAAACCATAAAAAATTTAAAACTGTTTTTGAAGATATGAACTGGCCAGATTTAAATATCGTGGTCTGAAAAATAGGTACCTCAGCTTTAGTGTTCTCAATTACAATCTATAAAGTCTACATTTCTACATGCAGAGCTTCCATTGTAGCTATAATCAGTACATCTCCCTCTAAAATGTTTTGTATTCTTTATTTACTCCTCGAAAGCATATCTCTTTTTTTTCTAACTTACAGTACATTTGTTATATTTTGTCTGGACACAGTAGAAGCGTTTCTTTTTGACTCCCAGTTTAGTAAATGCATTGAGGTGTACTGGACAATCTCTTTACAATTATACAGTTTAAATTCGAGCATTCAATAAGAAAATCAACCTTATAATAAACGTATTTACTCATACAAAGGTCGCAATACCATGACATGTCCATCCACATACTGTATCCCCTTCGAATCAGAAGTTGACAAAATTGAGGCAAACTTTCACTCAATTTAGTGATTATTGTGTGTTATTAGTCAAAGTACATTTCACCTCATTCTCTTGAAACGACCCATAGCACCCCCACACATTTGTATGTCTTTTAATGTTTCCTAGTATTATTCCCATGTTTTCTTTTCACACAATAAACACAATTTCAAACGTTAAAAAAAAGCTTTACGTTTCATATAGATTCTCCAGTCATTATGACAGTGTCTAATTCAGTCACCGATTAAATCACTACCACATAATATTGCTTGCTCATGTTTGACTTGACTTGTTTTTGCAACCCATTAGCATGACAACGACATGTTTACGGTTATTGTTTTCCACCGCTGCACAAGGCAACGGATGGAATTACCACCTCATCGATCAGGGATTTTGAAAGTGGATTGAATTGGATTTTGCGTGGTTAAATGAATACCCTATTCAGTTACTCGCTATCTGGATGTATCCTGATATCCAATTGTCTTTCTTCATTAGTATGAGTTTGCATTGTCCCGTTTACATAACAGATGCTATCCCCGTAGTCACCAGCAGATGGCGCCAGAGCACTGTCGCACCCACGCGCTGTCCGGGTTCATCGAGTCCATTCTGACATGAATTCTCCGCATCAGACTCTGTCCAGCTCTCCCTCAATCTCCCTCCTTCCTTACACGTCTTATTATGGCTAAAGTAGATTAACTGCGTACGTGCGTGCATCCATAACTCGAAATGAATCTTTTTGTTTCTTTTTTCTTTTTATTCTGCATTTTTTTGTCCATTTCCCATGAGGTCTATTAATTGTGTATAGCCTGTAATTGGTCAGCACAAATGGGCTCTTTCTTTTTCCTTAGCTCAGAATAATTACATGCTATACTTCTGGGATGATCTTTTGGCACCAATGCATTAAAGTAATAATAATAATAATTTTACGGGGAAAGAAAATGAATACCTGTTTCTCCCAGAAGAGTTCGATGCTATGTTTTTTTTTCCCCCATTACCCTTGTGGCTCCTGCTATTATCTGTAAGGTGTTTTTACCAGCCATGGAATTAGTACATGCAATAATTTGGTTTGATTTAAAGAATTCAAGCGAGGAGACATAGGGTCATCTACACATTGGTAATCAATACTAATTAGCATTTCATTTCTGCCCCCGCTGCGTCTTCTGGCCTGAATCTTAGTGGATCTGATGTTATTGAGCTGATTAAAGCTTGCAAATGAAAAGCCCTTATTCCTCCTTTTTTCTCATCAAAGGCCAACCACTACGCACCAACTTTGTCTTCATTTAATCCTACATTGTTCGCCAGACAAGGGCCAATTATAAACCTGCAATGAATCTCCAAAACAGCCCACGAACACTGACCTTTTTTCCAGATTAAAACACATTTTCTCTATCTCTGCTGCAGTCCCACTCAGAGCAATCTCCTGCTAATGAAGTGGGCAGTGATAGTAGCGGCTGGTCACAGGTAATGTTCCAAAGTAAATGGCTCTAAAAGGTATTAAACAACTGCTTTGACAACTTCAACTATTACTGCATCAATCAGAGCACCGGCTTAACAAACACAGAAACTAATACGTCTCAAAGTGCCGGGCCGTTAGAGTGAGGTTTTATATGCAGTGGTGCAGTGGTTAGCGTTGGTCCTTCACAGCAAGAAGGGGAAACCGGAGCACTCGGAGGACACCTACAAGTGCTTTCCTCCTAGGGCTCCGGTTTCCTCCAAGTGCTCCGGTTTCCCCTACCACTAATATCACATACAACAGGGAAGGAAAATAGTGAGAGAGTAAATGGATTGTGATGGTCGAGGGCTTTGATGCGCAAATGATTTCGGCTTCTGTAATCACTTGTGGGGAGAGAATGTAAAAATATCGGTACTCATCATCGTAAAAAGCTTTGTGCGACCATGGTCTGAGAATTGTGCTATATATATAAATATTACTTACCATTTTGAAATCTTGAGATATCTTTTGAAATTGTGTTTCAGCTGATTCCTTGAACAGCATGTCCACCCACACATTTCTGCAGCAATATTTCCCAAATATCAAAGTATTCACTGGGAGTTGTCTGTAATAAATGAGTAGTTTTAATCCCGTCAGTCCGCTCAGGCTAAGCAGGGAAGGGTCTGGTTATTACTGTGATGAGAGACATCTGGGATCACCAGGTGCCACAATGGGTAGGCTGCAAAGTGTCAAACTGTGCTTGTGTCCTTGGGGAGAATGAGTCTTGGTGTGTGTGTGCGTGTGTGTGGATGGTTGGTGGTGGTTGGAGGGGCTGATGGCACATATTGGTTG